GGCAGCTTTGGTCAGAGGCGCAGCAGGTGATGAGTTCTTCCTGGTACCTCTAGTTGTACAGTTGTATTAATAACTGAAGATATGTAGCAGTAACAGCTATCATCACCTCATTGAGGCTCTATTACAGAGTAGTGATGGTTTCCATTCTGTTGTAGTGTATGTTTACTTTTTATAGGGATAAGTGGGAGGAGAACAGCTGGGGTATGTGGTTCACTGGTTCCTTTGTCAGGGTAATCGAGTATCAGAAAAGTTTGGAGGAGTTCTACAAAATGCTTTTGTAGAATTTCCCGTCTGCTTATCAAATTGTTCTGTTGGTCACTGTAAAGTAATAGTAATTCTCATTCCACAGTGTTGCCATGAAAATTGAGATGATTAATTTCATGTGACTTTTTAAAATGTTCGAGTGTAAACACACGCGAATTTTTTAAGTGAGAATATTTAGTAGGAGTTTATGCTGACTCTAAAATTACCAACTACATGAGGATAAATATATATTAGATATTTGCATGGAACAAAAAATGTTCAAGCAATAAAACATTGAAATAAAACTAAAACATAATTATTCTAACAACGAGCTCTGAGATACTGACCTAAACATGAGCAGTTAAAAGAAATTCAGTCAGGTGGCTTGCAAACATGAGAGTTTTTAAGGTTTTTTTCTCCACTTACCTTGAGCGAATTTGCTTTGTAGGTCTATGTATATATCATTAAGAGGGTGATAGAAATAAAAAGGAAGGAAAGAATGGAGTGGTAGGAAGAGGGGACTGAAGGGGACATTTGGAAAGCCAGATGGGGTCTGAGTAGAGGACTACAGGCACAAAGTGAGAACTACAAGAACAGTAGTTGTCTCATCCTTTGGTTACTGCTTTTGGCCAGTTCTCTTGTGACCTGGTAGGTGCCTAAGTTTGTGTGAAAAGGGTGAATGATTGGGGACCCAGTGAGAGCTGACCACTCACGCTGCACGGATGATTTGGGACTGAAAGGATATGTAATAGCCAGTCTCCCTGCCACTTGTCTTGCTTCTCTTTGCTCCATCCTTCACATTGCTAAAGTTATTTTTCTTAATAACCTTCCATTACAACCCTTGCCTGATACAAACAAAAACTGCATCCCAGATGCCTTTGCATAATGGCAGAGTCCAAACATTTGAACTTTATATGGCCCTTCACCATTCTGCTTAATGTGCTCATGTAGGCTGGTTTCTTATGTCCACCCCACCATGTACCCTGTTTTTCCATCCTGAACATCTTGTCTTTTCCACACACCCAGATGTTTCAGGTCTTTCTCCAGTACATGCCTTTGCACACATGTAGAGTTAATCCTCTTGCAAGCGTTCCACGATCACCTGTAAACTCTTTGCTCCTTTCAGAGCCAGCTGGGTCTTGACCCCATTACCTTTTGGATTATCTACTAATTTAATTCAGCCACCCACACACACCATGTATTTATGTGTATGTGCTAGCTATTGTGTTAGGACCTGGTGGTTCAAAGATGCGTAAGGCCCAATCCCTGCTAACAGTTAATTTAGGCTTTTTTCCCCCCAGGTTTGCTGCCATAGGAATTTGTTCATATCCTCCCATAGCATTTAAAATATTTCATTTTAGTATTTATTTACATACCTTTTTTCCTGCTAAAGTTAAAATTATCTCAAAAGCATATATCCAAACTCATTTTGTATGAAATGTGCTTTTAACTAAATACTTTTCCTGAATGGAAAAAAATGTACATATATGCATAATGTACATAATATCCTCATGGAGAAAAAATGGTTTAAAGTAGGCTACAAGTAGTCCTATAAAAATCTATTTTTAAGTTCACTAAAACTATAGAATACAGTAAGTAAATTATCTTAGATACATAATTATTTACAAATATTGGATGCTATGCCATTAATTTTAATTTTTGTTACCTTCCTCTCTGAGTTGGCCTTCCCTGATTCCTCCAGGCTGGGTTTTGTGTTCTTACATGTTTTCATAGATATTCCTTATCTTTGTTAATTATTGTGCTTTATTGCAGCTCTTGACTCATCTGTCTTCCCAACTAGTTTATAAGCTTTCTGAAAGCAAAGCCCATCTTATTTATTCATTATGTTCTCAGAATAACAGTTAAACATTTAATAGTATTTATGAAATATTTTCCTTTGTTTAAAAGACTATTTTCAGTATCTTCCCTGAAAATTTAAGTAAATACTTTACATTCCCTTTGTATTGTTTAGGATAATCTGTGCATTTCCCCTGTTTTGTTCTGGTTCTCTGATGTTCAGTGAATGGCTCCCAACCCTAGCTATCTCCTCCACCACAATCGTTTCAGTAGAGACACAAAGTGACTTAGATTCTTGACGTTTGGGGAAAACCTTTGGGCAACTTCTGTTTTGTCCAGCAGGCTTTGCCTAGTAAGCATTTCTCAGTCCCACACCCCAGGACACAGGGCTTATTAATCTTATCTTGACTCATACAACAACTGGCCGAGGGATCAGTCCCTCCTTTTCAGGTGACACCTTCCCTGCCTCAAGGATGAGGATATAGTTGTAATGTTAGCAGTAGTTTCTGCTTTTCCTTTAGTTCTCCCCAAACTCCAATGCAAATTATCAGCTGGTTTGCCTTTAGTAAAACCTCTACTTTCTAAGCCTACTCGTCTTGTCTTATCTCCAGTGGAGTGCTTGCCTTTATTTACCTATGGAGATGAAAGAAGTACATGGATTGAAAATAGTGCATGTAAGAATCTTTAATGAAAGATTCTGTAAGTAAAGTCTGTGGTGATAGTGAACAGTAAAATAAGCTGCTAAATCCCAGTAGACTTTCTTCCTTTACTCACATAGTGATAATGAGGTTTCTAATGGGCAGGATCTGTGTCTGACTTGTTAGTGATCTCTTGTGATTCTTGGTGATCTCAAATCACTGAAGTTGTTTGCTCATTGAATGAGATGAAGATGAGTGACATGTTCTGAGTACCATGGTGTGGCTCTCAAATTATGTAGAGAGTTGGGATACATTTTAAAATAGGTTATTTTCTTATATTCTTAGTATATGATTTAGGTAGTTTTAATTTTGTAGAAGAGTATTAACCTCCTGTTGTTTCCATTTTTATTTTGACAGATTTCCTTACATTTTCTGTCATTATTTTTATTTCTAAAGATACTTAGGCAATCTCTTCTAAATCAGCATCTGCTTTCAGGGCAGTGCAGTTGTGTTGGGGAGAGAGGCATGTGATCCAGAGGATGGACTTAAATGGACATTAAGTTTTAACTTTACAGAGTGGGAATTCTCCAGGTGGAAAACGATTTGGAGGGCTTTCTGCTTTTGTCACACTGTTGACGTCTTTTCATTCCACTCTCTTTCTGATGTTTGGCATCTGCTTTTATCAGTCACTGTGTCTGTATCTGGTTTCTACTGTTAACTTAGTGCCTGTTATCTTGAACGCTGCAACTGCCATTTGTGAAGCTAGCCTAGAAAGAGCCCAGGACTGATTTTTCCCACAAGTAATATGAAAATACAGTACTCTGGTACCTGTAGCAGTCAGTCTGGTCCAAATGAAAATTTGTGGGATAGCCAAGAAACCAGACATGCAGATGAGTCTTCATGCTGAGTGTCAGATCGTTCAGTAATTAAGTCAGTATGTGTTGAGTACCCAACAGGCACTGCTAGGTCTTGGGTAATTTGGTGAATGAAATAGACACAGTCTTTGCCCTTACGGAGCTTATCTTCCAATAGTGGAGGTACATGACTTGTAATCAGCTAACTGTATGATTACCAGTTAAGTTCTGTGTAAGAAAGAAGGTACAGCAAGGAGAAATAATCAGGTTTGGGATGAAGCCCATTTAAAAGAGGTCATCAGGGAGGCCTTTCTGAAGGGGTGACATTTTAGTAGAAAACTGGAAGGTGAGATTAGAATTTCTGTGGAACAACTGAAGGGACACAGAATCCCAAGCAGAAAGATCATGTGCAAAAGAATGTGAGGCAGGAAAACCTCTGGAATGTTCCAGGAATTGAATGGAGGCTGGTGAGTGGTGGGGTCAGGTAGGGAGGTTTTGTGTTCCCTGCTCTGTCATCCATTACAGGTGTCAAACTGAGGACTGGCATAGGACAACTTGTTTGCCTCTTGCTTTTGTTGGGAGCTAAGAATGGATACTGTAAGGAGCATCCACTTTAGGAAGGCCGGAGGTGATAGTGGTGGAGAGGATCAGGATGCTGGTAGTGAAACTCAAGAGAGGAAGATGAATTTGAACTATAGTTTAGAGGTAGAAATAAGAGGACTTCCTGACAGATTTGATGTAAATAGTTAACCTAGAGTAAAGAATCAGAGAAGAACAACATCTGAGTTCCTGGCTGGAGCTACTGAGTATATGTTAATTCCTGAGCTGGCAAAACCCAGAGAGAAATGAGTTTGAGTGTTAAGTTTGAACTTTGGACTCACTAAGTGTACGTGCTAGTATAGCATCCTATAATGAAATAGTTTAAACATTTTTTCCCCTAAACTTTGTGCTTATCCAGCCCAAGCTCACCTTCTTCAGATCCTTTCTCAGATGTTACCTTTTCAGGAAGACCTTTCTTGACCAGCCTGGTTAAAATTGAAAGCCTCAGACCTCCTCCTTGCCTGCTCAATGTTTCTCTGTAGTAATTGTCCACCATCTGACATGGTATATATTAGACTTATTTATTGACTGAATAAAACAGAAGATCTGTGAGACCAGGGATTTTGTGTATTGATCATTACTGTATCCCCAACATGAAACAGCATGGCCTGTGTAAATGCTTAGTAAGTATTTGTTAACTGAATATATATAAAAATCAGTTGAAGGAGTCTCTGGTGTTTTTCATGACTAAATTTTCTTAAAAATATTTTTCAGGCTTTTGGCTTAAAACAGTTCTCTTTTAAGTGAATACAGATTTATAGGATATTTTTTATATGTACATGTACACACATACATGGGGGTTGGCATTGCTTTCTTTAAAGGTTAAAAAGTTGAATTTATAATTCATATTTCAATTATCTCAATTTATAGGTTACAACAGATGGAAAACCAAAAATCATTGATATCATAGATACAACAGGAAGTGGTGATGTGAATACTGCGACTGTAGTAGAGCCAAAAGATGGTGAAATTCTTGGTCTTTCAGGAAGAATGCTTAAGGTTGGAGCTTTTACCTTTCTATTGAATTATTTCTTTTTTTTTTGTATTCCCTCAGAGCATCTAATGTTTTTTGCTTACACTGGGGTAAAGTGAGTATTAGTAACCTATTGCTGTGTACAAATTATCCCCAAACTTCATGGTTTAAAATAACAAACATTAATTATCTTACAGTTTCTGTGAGTCAGAAATCTGGGTGTGACTTCACTGGGTGCTTGTTGTTCAAGGTCTCTCCTGCTTGCTGACTGTCGGTCAGGGCTGTGGTTCATCGGAAGGCTTAACTTGGGTGGAGAAGGGAAGTCTCTTTCCAAGCTTGATCAGTGATTATTGGCAGGCTTCGGTTCCTCACCATGGGGATGTCTTCAGGGGGCTGCTTCACAGCATCAGCTGATCTGCCCCCTGAGTAGGTAGTCCAAGAGACAGTGCCCCAGATGGAGGCCATGGTCCTTTAATTTATAAAAACTTGGAGGTGACCATCCCATCACTTCTGCCATGTTCTTTTCATTGGAAGGGAGTCATTAAATCCAGCATATAAAGCAGGGAGGGGATTTTATAAGGGCAGAGATATCAGGAGGTAGGGATCATTAGGGGCCATCCTGGAAGAAGCTGTTGTTCAAAGTGGGCTTAGAATTGGAATTTTTTCAGTGTAGTTGCCAAATGCTAAAAATTTTAAGTTTTGAATTAAGTGGGAAGTGACCAGATGATAGTTTTGCCTTTGTCTTTTCCTGTCCCTTCTGGAAACTTGAACATGAAATATTTATGCTTTAATATTTATGGACTTAAGTGACTGGCTTTGTCTTATTCCATGTACTTGGTGGAAAGACTGGGGTAAGCTAATTTGAAAAATGATTAGGAAACAAATACAAAGCAGTTCATGAGATATTAGCTAATGAGTTTGTTATATAGCAAGAATTTAATTGTAATTCAGTAATCTTACCTTTTAAATTAGCAGAATTAGTTTGGAAGATATATTTGTGCTTAGTTATATGTCTAAAGAGCTTTATCTAACTTTTCCCATCTTTATCATCTGAGTTATGTGTATGCATTGTCTTTTGGGTAAGACTATGGTAACAGTGTTACTAGTTTGCTCTGCCACATAACAAATTTAGCAGCTTAAAACCACATACATTCCTACATTTATTATCTTGCTGTTTCCCTGGGCCAGAAGACCAGTCATGGCTTTTTGTGGTTCTCTGCTCAGGGTCTCACAAGCCTGCAGTCAGGTGCTGATTGGGGCTGTGTTCTCATCTGAGCTTCAGGATTCTCTTCCAAGTTCATGTGCTTTTGGAAGAATTCATTTCCTTGTAGTTGTAGAACTTGTGACAGCCTGTTTCTTCAAGGCCAGCAGGAGAATCTCTGAGCTGGAGGGTGGTCCCAGTCTCTCTTTTAAAGGGCTCACCTGATTAGGTCAGGCCCACCCAGGATGCTCTCCCTTTTGATTAACTAATTCAGTCACCTGATTAGGGAGTCTTAATTATATCAGCAAAATCCCTTCACCCTGGCCATATTACCTACCACAACCTAATCACTGGAGAGATATTTGCAGGTCCTGCCTTCACTAAAGGGAGAGGGCTCTCCAAAGGCGTGGGTCATCTCAGAATCTACCTGCTCCAGCAAGCAGCAGGATTTAATAACCAGGTTTTGCTTCTTTTTCCATATATTATGGACCCCACACATGTGACATGGATGTTGCAGCCCTCACCCCACAGTGTGATGGTGGTGAGACTTAATGAGTGAGGGTGGGCCCCATAATGGGATTAGTGCCCTCATGAGGGAGCACCTTCTTTCTCTCTCTGTCACATGAGGACACAGCAAGTCAGGAGAGTCTCACCACACCTCAACCTTGCTGGCCTCCTGATCTCATGCACCCAGCCTGCAGAACTGTGAGAAAATAAATTGCTGGTGTTTAAGCTACCTGGTCTCTGGTATTTTCCCAGTGACCCCAAGCTGACTAAGGTATCATGTGCTTTAAAAAAAGAAAGATTGTGAACTGCAGGGAAATGAGTCTCTGCACATCTGAATGACTCTAAAGTTTTGCCTGTCTTCCCTGAGTCAGCCTTGTTATTAGGAGTATGTTTTGGGGAGAAACGTGGGATTCCTGTGTGTTACGTTACTCTGGGAAACTAGAGAGCACTCCTAGTAAGTCAGGCAGATTTAGAATCATGTAAAATATTATCCTGAACTTGTTTCTTTTTAAAAAGCCATGCTTCAGGTAAACCATGTGAATTGATATTATCATCAGTACTCAGGTAGAATTTTGTGTGCCATGTATATGCTATGAAATAAGATCAGGAAATTGATTGATATTTACAACTTTCCTCAACTTGATGACATATTTCTTTATCTCCTTTAAGTATTCTCTGCCTATTGATATAGTGGGGGGTTTAATTTTTAATTGTATTCAATATGTCTGCAGAGTTTAAAAGGACACCTATTTCTACATGGCTTCTAACATCTTCCCCTGTCACTGTCAGTTCCCACTTAACCAGCATTAAGTCTTTGACATATTAAATTATCTTCGGAGTTTTAAATAACATGCTAATATGTCTTACTTTTTGAAATTATTTTTAGTTTTAGACTTTGTAGAATTAACACAGTGGAAGAAGAGGGTTTAACTCTCAGGTCTTTCGTTCCTGAGAAGTGTTCTCGCTTTGTCTCCTGGGTTACCCCTGCCTACTGTTTCTGCTGTGCTTTTATCTGGAACTCCTGTTAGCTGGACATTGGACCTCTTGTGTTGATCCTTCAGTTTTCTTAGTTGCTCCATTCTTTGTTCATTGCTTTTGTTTATTTTTTCCCTTGTAAGAGATTTCCAAGATTTTCTCAGCATTTTCTTCTCAACTTGTATTGAATTTTGTTAAATTTTACCTATTATTTTTAATTGTGGAAGGCTTTTCATGTTTACTCAGAGCATATTTTTATATCACATATGAAACACTTTATCTCGGTATTGTCAAAAAGTTTTTATCTAGTTACTTCTTTCTTTTCCCTCATTCTCTTTCTTCCTCTCCTCTCCCTTTTTCCCCCTTGTCTCCTCTTCCTTATCTTCTCCTTCTTCTCTCCTCTTCTCTTCCGTCCTCTGTCTCTCCTAGTAACTTGGGCTCTGCTTTTCACCTGTGAGCTTTCCACAGGTGTCTGGTCATCCCTAGCTGCCTCTCTGTAGCAGGGCACATGAACGGGGATTCTGCAGGGTCTTGCTGTGGGTCTCAGTGTAGGACAATGATCCTGTCATGGGAAACCCCATGAGATCAGCATATATTTTTTCCACCCAGGTGTTTTCATTACGTCAAAGAGAATCTTATCCTATTCTGCCCACAGCTTGTGGGGATGAGGGAGAAATAAGCCTGGCCATCAGCGTCCAGGGTCATGCCTTGAAAGGTACCTGGGAAGGCCTCTGCAGATTCTTCATATGTAGCATCTGTCTCCTCTGATGCGTGAGTTCTCTGGAGCCATCATCCCTACTTCTCTCTGGTTCAGGTTCAGGTAGGGACAGTTGTCCGGTTGATCAGGTTTGGGCAGCAGTGGGATGGGTGGCTATCTAACTTCCTCATACTTTCCACCAATCTTATAATCCCTTCTCTGTCAACATACCCACATACATATCCAGTTATTGTTTTTCAAGGACGTGCAGGCGGTGAGCTATTTCACCAGAATCATTAAGAGGGACAATGTCACTAGTCACTGGGATTCTTACTGTTTGGATCTCTCAGAACTCTTTTCAGAAACTCTCAGACACCATTTTCAGAAAGCAACATAGTAAAATCTTCAAGTTTCTTTGGCTTAAACATGCTTTAAGATGAGTTAGATATTTGTATTTTATTTCAACTTCCAAACAGTCCATACAGTGCTGACAGTTAATGTCTTATTCTTCTCTAGTTTAAAATCAATGGCTAGTTAGGCTGCTTTGACCATTCCAGTATCTCATTCTCTAAGGATGCTATTCCTAGGCCTTCTTGGGAAACTAGTCGTCATTTACTTTTGACCAGTGGTACTCCACAATGAGTAGCTAGAAGCAAAAAAGTAAATAGAAACTTAAAATCTTTCATGGCAAAATGTACAGACATAAAGGAAAGTGCATAAACACAGTTTCTCGAACAGTTAAAGGGAACACCATTTTATCCAGCACCCACATAAGGCAGAATATTGCCGTACTTCAAGCTTCCTGTGTTCTCCCACATCACAACCTATTTTGACTTTTGTGATAATCATTTCTTTGCTCCTCTTTATGGTTTTACCACCTCTTTGTGGGTTCATGAAATACACCGTTAGTTTTGCCTATTTGAGAACTTCATGTGAATATTTGATTTCTGTATCATGTCATCTTTCTTTGAACGTTTGGGAGATTGGCAATTTGGCTGTGAGTATCCATGTAGTAATGATCCGCTCATTGCTGTGCAGTATGCCATGCTTCGTATGTACCACATTCTGTCCATGCTACTACTGATAAATAGGTGAGTAGTTTCCAGTTTGGAACTGTGGCTAACAGTTCCTTAAAGAACATTCTTCTATACAGATCCCATGAGCATGTGTATAGGTACCAAACAGGTTTTCTAAGTACTTGTACAAAAATACAAAGAGTAGTGTATAAGAGTTGTAACAGTCATACTGCCGACACTTGGGGTTTTTTTAGCTCCTTAATTTTTCAAGTATACTGAGAATCTAGGTATATCACACTGTGGCTTTAATTTATACTTCTCTGATTACTAATAAGATTGAGCAACTTTTCATATGTTTAGACTTTGGATTTCCTCTTTTCTGAAGTGCTGATTCACTTTCATTTGCCCATTTTTTTTCCTATTGAGATGTCTATTGTTTTCTTACTGAAATGTAGAATTTTGTTCTATTTTCTATGTACCTCCCCTTTGATTATATGTGTTTTCAGGTATCCTTCTCCCATTCTATACTTGTATTTTTCCTTTCCATGTGATGTCTTGATGAATACTGGTTCTTAAATTGAATATAGTTGAGTATCAATCTTTGCTCTTTAATTAGGGCTTTTTAGTCTTTAGAAATCCTTCCTGACTCCAAGATTATGAAGATATTCTCCTGTATTCTTTTTTAAAAACTTTCACCATTTTTCTTATCATATTTGTTCTAGAATTCACCTGAGATTGATTGTATGCTCAGTTCAAAATAGGAGTCCTATATCCTTTTTTCAGTTTGAAGACTCAGTTGTCTCAACACTATGCATTAAAATTCCACAATTTCCCCACTAATTCTCAGTGCCTTCTTTTACTTTGCAACCTTGGAAATGTGGTGACTTTGGTTTTCTAAAGTCTTACACCCATTTTCTTTCTTCTTTTAGTTTCTTTTTTCCTTTCTCAAATTTTAGTTGCATTTTGGAAGGGAGCACAGTGCTTTTTAAAATTTTACCACATTCAACTTGAAGCCATTTTTAAAAATCATCAATATTTAGCCTCACATCTTAAGAAATGGTGAGTCCTGACATAGTGAATGACTTGGCTAGATTTAGCACTGTATTTCAATGCAGTGGTAGCTGAAGGAGAGCAGGTACGTGTGTTCTGGCAGTACCATGAAGCTGACAAGTTTGAAGTCCAGTTTAGAGGTTGAAGAAACAAACAAAAAAAATCCAGACTTTTACTGTACGAAACCTTAACACTCGCAATGACACTTAACTTGTTAAGAAAATGTTCATTAGGCATTTTCTCTTTAAAAGAGAGAAAAGAGTTGTAATTATTAATTAAAGGGATTGTTTCTTGCATAAAAATCAGCCTTATTGGTTGATAAATTGGTTAAGGTTAGATGGCAGAACCATGCAGAACCATGATTTTCTAATTTTTTTTTTTTAGTTAGCATTTATAACTAGCTAGTTTGTCTTTACTCTGAGCTAAATATATAGTAGTGACTTGAGAATTATCTGGTTGCATAGACCCTGAAGATTTTGATCTCATTTAGACTTAAGTGTAAATAATGTCTATTGAATTGTTTTTATTATATTATATATATTTTAAATGACTGTGTTTAATATGTCTTAACACTTGTTTATTTTGTTGCTGTTTTGTTTAGTTATTCCATTTAATCCTTTGTCATTTCACAGCTTTTTGTAATCACTTTGTACAAAGAAGATGCCGCTAACATAGGGTTACTAAGCCACCTGTGTAGCAAGACACCTGTGATTAAATATTCTTTGAATTTGTCAGCTGGTGACGACTTACCTTATTGTTTCAACACTTTATTATTGTTGTTACATCATGAGCTGTTGCAGGAACATTAGAATTAAGAATCTCTGTTCTCTAAAGAAGGTTGATATGTTTTTGAATGAAAGATGTTAGTTGGTCTTCCAAATTTTAAATTTAACGTACTGCAAACATTCACCTGATTCAGAAATGATTACTGATATGCAGGCCTTTTAAAGTTCATGAATCTTTGAAGGTCTATGCATGCTTTCCTCTATTTGTGAGAAAATTTCATCCAGAATTTCCTACCAGGGGAATAATTTGATGAGGGACATGGGGATGAGTTGGTTAAAGATATTATACCAATGAGAACAGATGAGTCAACCAACTTTGGATCAACCAGCCTTATAATTAGTAGACATTGAAAGCTGTTTTTGATGGCCGCGGGTCCTGTGATGACAGAGCATGAATACTTCACGTTGCCCTGATGGACATTTCAAGTTGGTTAATGGTCAGTACATTTTATTATTTGTGAGACTCCTAAGGTGAGGATTATTTCCCCTTTTACACATGGGTAAATAAAAGCCTGGGGATCACATCTGGTTAGGTAGTGTTTGGATACACAGCCAAATTTATTTGACTTTAAGTCCCGAATGCTTTACATGAGTTATTTGTCTCCGTGATGGAACTAGATTCCAGCTTTCTTTTCAGCCTTCCTGCTGTTTGACCAGGAGTTTCATTTCTTTTTGCTTCTCTGTTTTTTCCATTTGTAAACTGGGCATGCTCTTTACATCACTCCCTTAATTAAAAGCTTTTAAGTCTTATTTTTCATACTTTGAGATAGTTGAAAAGACTACGATGTTATATATATAATTAACATGATTTCATGGAAGGTTTTCCTTAAGAACTCAAAGAGCTCTTCTTTAGTCTGTAGATAGTATCCCTGCTGTACTGGAGAAGAGAATGCAGTTCTTTTTCTTCACGGAAGGGCTCTGGGTAGGGAGGCTCTGTGAACTGTACTCTCTCCCTCAGGTGGATGGGAAGGAGGTAGGGGAGAGGCCAGTGTCACTGATGCTCGAGAACTAAAGATCAGAGCATTCATGAGGCCGCACGTGTTGAAAGCACTTTATGAACTATGGAGCACTTTGTAAATGAAAGGTACGATAGTTGAACCATCTTATTTACAGGTGAGAAAAAGGAGCCAGAGAGACTGTGGCATCTTAGAATATTAAAAATACTGCTCTAGTACACCAGCTTGCCTATTCAAGTTGAACCACTAGGGTAGAAGTGGAGTCCTTTTTCCCCAGTATTAAGTCATTGGAATTGGAAACTATTTATCGAGTCAGCAATTTACTTTTCTCCTATAGGTTCCTGTGAGCTGGACAAATCCCTCCGGCAGATACCATATTGGCATAAAAAATGGCTATGACTTCTATCCAAAGGCTCTCAAGGAAAGGATACAGGTAATGTATAATTTAGTATCAATGGTTTATCTTCTCCCTCAGATTTTTTCCTACCAAAGGAAAAGAAATTCATAAAATCTTACTAACCTTAATTGTTTTGGAGGGTGGGAGGCTTTCAAACAATGACTGCTTAAAGAAAGATACTGTTCATTGGACTGGTTGGTTACCCATTTCAACATGGCTCTTAATCTTGGATACATGGATATGTTTAGAGAATGAATACACTGAAATTATACTCAAATTTTTGTGTATTTTTGTTTATCTGGGTGATGGAATATAACTTTCATTGAATTTTTTAAAGACTTCTTTACCTCAAAAAGGCTAAATATAGTTGATTTAAAGTTCTGACTGCCTTATTTATTCCCATTTCTATAGCTTCTATGATTATTTGTCCTGTTTTCTTACTGTTTAACTACCCTTCTTGATATTAGTTAGTCATCATTCGGTATTAAAATAAAGGGTTACTCAGTTCTAAAGCTGCTGAACAATTGCAAACTGTCTGTGATTAGAGAAATAAGATGGCAAATTGAGTGACAAGGAGCCTGCTTTAGAACAGCACTATTCAGTAGACCTTTCAATGTTAAGGAAAGTGTTCAAAATGTTCAATATCTGTCCATTATGATAGACACTAGTTACAAACAGCTGTTGAGAACTTGAAAGGTGACTGGTATGACTAAGGAATTGAAATTTTAATTTTATGTAATATTTTAAGATTTAAGTTTCAATAGCAACATGTGGCTAGTGGCTCCTGGATTTGACAGTGCCACTTTAGAACCGCTTTAACTCCAGTAGCTGATACGGGTTCAGGGATTCAACTGTAAGACAAGATATAATACTTGAAAATAAGCCTGATGGGTAAGACTAATCAAAATATTGTTCCATCTAATCAGAATTTTGTTATTTGATTTTCTAGGGATCTGTGAACCATAAGTTCCTGAGTATATTACATATATAACCTTCACTTATTTGTCAGATTCTAATCATTCTGCCAAAAAATATTGCGAAAGAAAATACATAACTTTTATTGGATAATATTTTATTTTATAATTTCAGGCTGTAATACACATAGCACAGTATTTATATGCACTGTATTAAATTAATCAACTGTGTTGATAAGGTTCAAATTAACATGCAAAGATAGCATGGTTAAGTGAAAGCCAACCCTCCTGCTTTAGCCCTAGTCGAGTTGATTATTTTACTGGAAAGGATTTTTCTAACTGGCAGACTGCCCTTGGGGGAGGCACTGTGGGAGTTAAACACAGTGAGGATGAAGGTCAGGCCAATTTCAGTAACAGAGAACCCTATCAAGTCAACGAGGATAGGGAAAAAATAAGTTAGCAAGGGAGGAAATGGAGGGAGCCTGTATGTCCATCAAAATGTAACTGGAGTCTTCCTCCTGTCCTCTACTTCCACTTGGCTTAAGGCATTTCCCAATTTCATAAAGGCCTAAAATACTGCTTGTGCTTTAAATGACTGGGAATTCAATCAGTCATCTTAACATAGCATTGTTTGTTCTTGAAAGGATTTAAATTGGGCATATGATGTTTTAAAAGACATTTGGGTGTGGTTTGGCGTGCTCTCTTATAACCTAGGTGCAGCACTTTACCTAATAAATGATCCTTTCCCTTATCAACTTGATGATCAATTATTTTTTTATTAGCCTCTGTATGAGAACTGTGTAGCACAACGGCCGACAACAATTAGGTCCGTGTATAAAAGACTGTCTAGATTTACCTGAACATTTGTCAGCCTCTTTTAAGGCAATTTTCTGTCTTTGCAGAAAGAACGGAAGGAAAAAATCTGGGACCCTATTCACAGAGTGGCGCTTGCAGAAGCCTGTAGAAAACAGGAAGAATTTGATGTCACCAGCAATTGCCCTTCCCAAGTTGGTGCTAGTTGCTTTTATTTAAACATTACTATAGAGTTCTTAGAGAATAGACTGATTTACACATTTTTTAAGTTGCTTAATTTTACTACTTTTCCTTTATTATGTATCCTGAAATTATTTTACATATGTATTTGTCAGTTTTTTAAACTTCTTAATGTGCATATACAATACAGATGTTTGAAAGGGCATGTGTCAGAAGTGTGTTGTCATGAATTACCAAAGTGAGCCCTCCCAAGCAGCAGTGCCCCACCTCCTTCTCATGTGTCTTCTTCATCATTCCTCTCCCTCCTCCCCAGAGGCACCCACCATCTGGCTCTGTGTTGCCTGTTCTGAATTTATAAAGTGGTGCGTGTTCTTTCACGTGTGGTTGCTTTCGCTCAGTATTGTTTGTGAGATGCATCCATGTGTGGGTGTTGAAGTAGTTTGTTCACTTTTGTTGCTGTGTGATGAGTAAACCACAATTTGTGTGTCCACCTTGCAGATTGATACTTGCTTTTTTTCCATTTTTGGCTGCTTTCTTCAGCATTCTTGCACATGTCTTCTGGTGAGCATTAAGCGGTAGCACCAGTTCGTATTCTCACAAGAAGTATATGAGAGCTCCCATTGTTCTACATCCTTAAATCGCAGTTAAGTTTTTTAAGACAATTTATAAAATGAAAATGATGTCTTGCTTTATTATTAAAATAATGCAGAAACTTTTGTACAGCACAGGTATGCAAAGTGTCACCCCCCAGGGATAACAACAACTTGATGTTTATCCTTCCAAATTTTTCCTTTAATGCATACATGACCTTCATCAAAAATGGAATCATATGATGGTTCTCAAACCTGGCAGCATGTTACCATCACACAAAGAGCTTTAAAACTGCCAGTGCTTGTGAGCTAGAGAGGAATTACATCAGAATCTTGCAGGGAGGCATTTTTAAAAGCTCCCCAGGACCTTTACTTGCTGTGCAGTTGGGGTTGAGGACCGCTGGCTGAACAGATCTATACACACGTTTAACTTGTATTTACTTAATCTGGGTACAGGATCCTTTGGGAACAGCTCTTTTACTTTGTCCTGATCAGGCACATTAAATATGGCATTTCAGGTCCTACGTGTATACTTCTAACTTTATACAACAGGAATCTGGGTTTAATTATCCATTTTATTTTGTAAACTGAAAACAGGTCTATATACTTGGTTTATTCCTTTGAGAAACAGTAAATGTTGAATATGCTGAATAAGTAAAGATGAAGCATAACTTAAGATTTTGGAACATGTGAAAATCAAATTTTTATTCACTAGGACTATTCAGGTGAATATAGAGCTGTCTAGTATGTAGTTTTAAAAAATACTTAGGTTTGAAATTCTTATTTTTGTATATCAGTGGTTAAATAGTTTCTATGTACATGGTCATAAATGTAGTATGTATTTAATTTACCAAATTCTGAAAAGAAAGATGATTCAGGATTTGTTACTGGATTCTTAAACAGATTGGATATGGGAATGGTCCTAATAGAAAAATTTTAAAGTCAATAAATAGATAACCTATTTTATAGCAATTTGAGAGTTACTTTTAGAAATGCGTTATACAGATTACAAGACAGGTAAGCAATACATGTCTTGGCCAAATGATAAGGACCAACGTGTAGTACTGTTTTTCTCAAAGCAGATGGAATAAGTGAATGAGAGATTGAGTAAAAGACGTTTTTCTTTTAATGTTTAGTTTATTAATTGATACCTACATTAAGTTGAGCTACAAGTTGCATAGATGTAGAAAGAAAATTTTCTTACCTTTCTCTAGGGTAAAGTGACTTTACTGTTGTGTCACACGTTGTATTTAATATTACTTTTTCAGGAACACAAAATGTGCTAATATTAATATATATTCTAATTGATTAGGCAAATAAACTACTCAAGGAAGAGCTCCAAAGTCAAGTGGAATTACTAAATTCTTTTGAGAAAAAATACAGTGATCCTGGCCCCGTGTATGACTGCTTGGTGTGGCATGATGGGGAAACCTGGAGGTAAGCTTGTGTGTTCTACAGATCTTCACTTAAAAATGTTCTTTTCCACTCTAGGAGCATTAAGCCTACAGCACTGTCCTGAGATTTGGTTTATGTGACAGTAGTATCATTCAGCAACCCTATTGAAGACCGAAATTGGCATTTGTGTAGTTTTGGACAAGTCTTTTGAACTTCTTAGTATTTTAGACACTAAACTTGATGCTTATACGTGTTTTAAAGATTATTTCGTTTACCAGATAGTAATTGTTAACCAGGTATTAGCAGGTTGATTATTAGTATATGTAGAAATATTCCTGATTTAGGCTGGGCAGTTTAGAAAGTAACTGTAAGAGGATATTGCAGAGCATCTACTGTAAACTCTGAAGGGCAAGTGGGAAACTTGACTGGAGATTTCACAGTAGAGACAAGGTAGCTGAGTTGAAGAGTGGCAGTGCAACACGGGTGAAGAGCTCAGTCTCTGAGATGGAATCTTAGCTGTGTGACCTTGAACACTACACCTCTAAGCCTGTTCCTCATTTGTTAATTGGAGTAATAATAGCACCTCCCTAGAGGGTTTTGCTAAAACTAAATTTGGTATTTCTCAGCAGAGTGTGCACTTGATAGACATAAGCCATTAGTGGTGCTTACTACTCTGTGATAATGGCCGTTATATGAAGTCACCTGTCTTACATGCTCTTCAGGTTTCTTAGTGAATTGTACACTGCACTGTGTTTCTTGGAGCTGGCTAGTATGTCTTCTTGATTTACTGTCTGCATGGAAATAAGAACAGTGTTCTTAATACAGAGATTTAGGCATGAGTATTTTAGGGTAACTACAATAAACCGGGATGACTCCGTGAAACTTGAAATAAGAATAGCTGACATTTTGAGTCCCTGCTCTTATGCAAAGAATTGTTTCCCAAGGCGTGACAGATAGCAAGATATGGTGAAGTTGATTACTTTTCTCAGATTGTTCACATCGCAATGCACTGTTCTCAAAGGAGGGCTTTCCTTCCATGAATGTGGGTACTAACTCATCTCTGATAATGGGTATATAAAATTTTCAATTGAATAAGAAACCCCTGTTCCATTTGGGAATGAAAGTGTTAATAAAGTATTTGCATGTAGCCATATTTTTTTATTAAGGTATTACTGATATACACTATTATGAAGGTTTCACATGAAAAACAATGTGGTTAATACATTCACCCGTATTATCGAGTCCCCCCTATATACCCCATTGCAGCCACGAACCATCAGTGTAGTAAGATGCCACAGAGTCACTATGTGCCTTCTCTGTGCCACAGTGTCTTCCCCTTGGTCTCCCCAAACCATGTATAGTAATCAAAATACCCCTCAATCCCCTTCTCCCTCCCTCCCCACCCACCCTTCCCCTCTCCTCCCCTTTGGTAACCACTAGTCAGTCCCTTCTTGGAGTCTGTGAGTCTGCTGCTGTTTTGTTCCTTCAGTTTTGCTTTGTTGCTATGCTCCACGAGGAATCATTTGGTACTTGTCTTTCTCCACGTGGCTTATTTCACTGAGTGTAACACAATCCAGCTCCATCCATGTTGTTGCAAAGGGTAGGATTTGTTTCTTTCTTATGGCTGAATGGTGTTCCATTGTGTATAGGTACCACATCTTTATGCATTCAGCTACTGATGGACACTTAGGATGCTTCTATATCTTGGCTATTGTAAATAGTGATGCGATAAACATAGGGGTGCATATGTCTATTAATTGACCATACATGCTTGGGTTTGTGTCTGGGCTTGCTCTCTAGTCTGTTCCATTGGTCCATGGGTCTGTTTTTGTGCCAGTACCAAATTGTCTTGATTACTGTGACTTTGTAGTAGAACTTGAACTCAGGGAGTGTAATCCACCCAGCTTTATTCTTCCTTCTCAGAATTGCTTTGGCTATTCGGGGTCTCTTGTGGTTCCATATGAATTTTACACCTATTTTCTCAGTTTGTTGAAGAATGCTGTTGGTATTTTGATAGGGATTGCATTGAACCTGTAGATTGCTTTAGGCAGGATAGCCATTTTGACAATATTAATTCTTCCTGTCCGTGAGCATGGGATGAGTTCCATTTATTGGTATCTTCTTTAATTTCTCTCAGAAGTGTCTTGCAGTTTTCAGGGTATAGGTCTTTCACTTTCTTGGTTAGGTTTACTCCTAGGTATTTTATTCTTTTTGATGCAACTGTGAATGGAATTTTTTTCCTGACTTCTCTCTCTGCCAGTTCATTGTTAGTGAACAGGAATGCCACAGATTTCTGTGTATTAATTTTGTATCCTGCAGCTTTGCTGAATTCAGATGTTAGATCTAGTAGTTTTGGAGTGGATTCTTTAGGGTTTTTTATGTACAATATCATGTCATCTGCAAACAGGGACAGTTTAACTTCTTCCTTGCAGTCTGAATGCCTTTTATTTCTTTGTGTTGTCTGATTGCTGTGGCTAGGACCTCCAGTACTATGTTGAATAGAAGTGGGGAAAGTGGGCATCCTTGTCTTGTTCCCAATCTTAAGAGAAAAGCTGTCAGCTTCTCACTGTTCAGTATGTTGTTGGCTTTGGATTTATCATATATGGCCTTTATTATGTTGAGGAGCTTGCCCTCTGTGCCCATTTTGTTGAGAGTTTTTTTCATGAATGGTTGTTGAATTTTGTCAAATGCTTTTTCCGCATCTATGGAGATGATCATGTGGTTTTTGTCCTTTTTGTTGATGTGGTGGATGATGTGGATGGATTTTTGAAAATTTTACCATACTTACGTCCCTGGAATAAATCCTACTTGATCATGATGGATGATCTTTTTGATGTATTTTTAAATTCAGTTTGCTAATATTTTGTTGAGTATTTTTGCATCTATGTTCATCAGGGATATTGTTCCATAATTTTCTATTTTTGTGGTGCCTTTGCCTCGTTTTGGTATTAGAGTGATGCTTGCCTCATAGAATGAATTTGGAAGTATTCCCTCCTCTTCTGTTTGGAAGACTTTAATGAGGATGGGTATTAGGTCTTTACTAAATATTTGATAAAAGTCAGCAGTGAAACCATCTGGTCCAGGAGTTTTGTTCTTAGGTAGTTTTTTGATTAACAATTCAATTTCCTTGCTGGTAATTGGTCTGTGTGGATTTTCTGTTTCTCTCTGGGTCAGCCTTGGAAGGTTATTATTTTTCTAGAAAGTTGTCCATTTCTTCTCCATTATCCAGTTTATTAGCATATAACTTTTCATAATATTCTCTAATAATTCTTTGATATCTGTAATGATTTTACCTTTTTCATTTCTGATTCTGTTTATATGTGTAGACTGTCTTTTTTACTTGACAAGTCTGGCCAGGGGTTTATCTATTTTGTTTATTTTCCCAAAGAACCAGCTCCTGCTTTCACTGATTTTTTTTCTATTTTATTCTTCTCGATTTTATTTATTTCTGCTCTAATTTTTATTGTGTCCCTCCTTCTACTGACTTGGGGCCTCACTTGTTCTTCTTTTTCTATTTTTGTTAATTGTGAGTTACACTGTTCATTTGGGATTGTTCTTCTTTCCTCAGGTAGGCCTGTATTGCAATGTACTTCTCTCTTAGCACGGCCTTCACTGCGTCCCACAGATTTTGCAGTGTTGAATTATTGTTGTCATTTGTCTCCATATATTGCTTGATCTCCGTTTTTATTTGGTCATTGTTCCATTGGTTATTTATGAGCATGTTTTTAAGCCTCCATGTGTTTATGGGATTTTTTGTTTTATTTGCATAATTTATTTCTAGAGTCATCCTTTTGTGGTCTGAGAAGCTGGTTGGTACAATTTCAATCTTTTTGAATTTACTGAAGCTCTTTTTGTGGCCTAGTATATGATCTGTTCTTGAAAATGTTCCACGTGCACTTGAGAAGAATGTATTCTGCTGCTTTTGGGTGGAGTGTTCTGTAGCTGTCTGTTAGGTCCATCTGTTCTAGTATGTTGTTCAGTGCCTCTGTCTCCTTATTTTCTGTCTGGTTGATCTGTCCTTTGGAGTGAGTGGTGTGTTGAAGTCTAGAACGAATGCATTGCATTCTATTTCCTCCTTTAATTCTGTTAGTATTTGTTTCACGTATGCTGATGGTCCTGTGTTGGGTGCATCTATATTTATAATGATTATATCCTCTTGTTGGACTGACCCCTTTATCATTATGTAATGTACTTCTTTGTCTGTTGTTACTTTCTCTGTTTTGAAGTCTATTTTGTTTGATACAAGTACTGCAACTCCTGCTTTTTTCTCCCTATTAGTTGCATGAAGTATCTTTTTCCATCCCTTCACTTTCAGTCTGTGTATGTGTTTGGGTTTGAAGCAAGTCTCTTGTTGGCAGCATATAGACAGGTCTTGTTTTTTAATCCACTAAGTGACTCTATGTCTTTTGATTGGTGCATTCAGATCATTTACATTTAGGGTGAATATCTATAGGTTTGTACTTATTGCCACTGCAGGCTTTAGATTCGTGGTTACCAACGGTTCAAGGGTAACTTCCTTACTATCTAAGAGTCTAACTTAACTCACTCAGTATGCTATTACAAACACAATCTAAAGGTTCTTTTTTTTCCCTCCTTCTTTTTCCTCCTCCATTCTTTATATATTAGGTATCATATTCTGTACTCTTTGTCTATCCCTTGACTGACTTTGGTGATAGTTGATTTAATTTTGCATTTGCTTAGTAATTAATTGTTTTTTCTTCACTGTGGTTTTATTTTCGCTGGTGACAGCTATTTAGCCTTAGGTACACTTACATCTATAGCAGTCCCTCCAGAATACACTGTAGAGACAGTTTGTGGGAGATAAATTCTCTCAGCTTTTCCTTATCTGCAAATTGGTTAATCCCTCTTTCAAATTTAAATGGTAATCTTGCCAGGTATAATATTCTTGGTTCAAGGCCTTTCTACTTAATTGCATTGAATAAGTCATGCCACTCCCTTCTGGCCTGTAAGGTTTCTGTTGAGAAATTTGATGGTAGCCTGATGGATTTTCCTTTGAATATGATCTTTTTTGCTCTCTCTGGCTGCTTTTAATATTCTGTTTTTATCCTTGAGCTTTGCCATTTTAATTATTATATGTCTTGGTGTTTTCTTCCTTAGGTTCCTTGTATTAGGAGGTCTGTGCACCTCCATGCCCTGAGAGATTACTCCTTCCTCAGATTGGGGAAGTTAGCAGCAATTACCTCCTCAGTGACACTTTTTATGCCTTTTTCTCTCTGTTCTTCTGGTACTCCTATAATGCGAATATTCCATTCAGATTGGTCACACAGTTCTCTCAATATTCTTTCATTTCTAAACATACTTTTTTTTCTCTGTGCCTCAGTGTTTTTGTATTCCTCTTTAATATCTGTTCCATTTGTCATCTCTTCTCCACTATATCTAATCTGCTTTTAATTCCCTCCATTGTATGTGTCATTTCAGGTACTATATTCCTTAATGATTGAATCTCTGTCTGGAATTCTTCTCTGAGTTATTGAATATTTTTCTGTACCTTCATGAGCATGTTTATGATTTTTATTTTGAAATATCTTTCAGGAAGATTGATGAGTTCAGTTTCACTTGACCCTTTTTCTACTGTTTGTGGAACTTTGGTTTGAGCCAGGTTCTTTTGAGGTTTTATATTTGTATGTGGTGCCCAGAAGCTCTATTCTCTTGAGCTCTTCAGCCCCTGGAGTGATGTCGGGGGTCCCAGGGGAGTGGCGCTGGTGCCTGGGGGTTGGAAAGAGCTATTTCCTGCTTCCCAGCTGCTATGCCTGCCTCCATTGCCAGAACCAGTGGGCTGAGCACACAGGTTTAAGCCTCTGTGCTTTGCGTTTGTAGCTGCCCTAGGTGGGGCTTCCCTCTGGCTGGCCTGATGCAAGGACAGGGGCTGCCAGTTTGCAAACTAGTGCGGGTTGGTTGGGAGGAAGGACCAGCAGGCTCTGTATCACAGTGGGGGGCCTTGGAGCTGCGTAGCCAGCCAGGGGGATGGAGGCCTTGAAGCTCCTGAAAATTCCCAACCTGTGCTCCCGGACAATTTTGTCCACCTGTCCTTTCTCCTGAGCAGCAAGCTCTGGGCAGTCCTTGCCCCTTTAGCAGCCCTCTCGCTGTTAGGAAGTCTCTCAGTCTGACCGCCTTCCTTTTGTCCCAGAGCAGCCAGATGTGGATCCCTGTTTTCCACAAGCGGCTGGAATCTCAGTCTCTCCAAGTGTTCCACCTGTCTTAGCTTTCCAGCCTCACTGATCTCCAGAACAGCATGCAATGTAGGTTCATGCTCCCAGAGCAGTTCTCCAGGGCTGGGTGTTTTCAGCAGTCTCAGGTCTCCACTCCCTCCCCGCTCCGTTTCTCTTCCTCCTGCCTGTCCCACCAGATCATGGCTTTGGTACGTTGTCCTGCTCTGTGAGGTCTGTTCTTTTCTCAAGGTATATGCATTCTGGTGCAGCCTTCTTTCCTGTTGCTCTTTCAAGATTAGTTGTATTAATTATATTTTCATATTACACCTGCTTTTGGAAGGAGGCCTCTGTCTCACCTCTCACACCGCCATCTTTAATCTCTCCACTCTATCGCATGTAGCCATATTTTTATGATTCAAATATTAATGCCTTTTTTACATGTATTCAGGTATGTTGTTTGGGTGTGTGTATATGCAACTGTGCACATGTTTGTGAACAATATTTTTTCAAAAGCTTTGCAGAAAGCTTTGATCAGTGTTTATCATTTAAGTCCTCAAGTGTGTGGTTTAGCAAACTGGTACATCCACCACATGGTGTAACATGATAAAATCATTCCCAAGGCTAAATTTGAGGAAAATACTGGAAAGAAACTGAGTAAATGTGGAAAAATACACTACAAAAGGACTGAGGGACATACTACAACATTAGCAGACCTGGGGTAGGGCACTGGGTGGTCTCAGTTCATTTCCTGCTCAGGCTGACAACACTGTGGCTAATCTGTCCCAAGGGAAAGGGGTTTGCGGTCAGTAGGTCCAGAATGTAGGTCCCTGGTACCAGTCCATGTTCCCAAAAGCTTTCCATGGTCTTTAAGGCAGTGACAAAGCAAGTGACACACTGTAACTGTTTGTAAACAGTATTTTAAGACATCCTTTAGAATTTTTGTGTTGGAAAAATGAAATTTAATCCAATATGAATGAAATAAAATCTGAAATCACATGAGTAATGTTTTAGAAAATAGAATCATTGAAAAATGCAGCAGAATTAAGCTTTCAGGTACTCCATCAATAATTCAGTTTTTTACATGATCCTGTGTGTAATACTGAGCTTTGACTCCATCACCCCATCTCAGAGTTAGATCCGGAGTTTTTTGAGAAGAATCTTAAAGATCCTAAATTTACCTAAGGGGAATCAAGGCACTATTGTTTTGTAAGTGCCAACCATTTCTGAGGTAAGGTAAGGGGACCTGAAAAACCTTCAGGTTTTTTTTTGTTTTTACGAAGAACACCAAGTCTGCCCTGCCTCAGTGTTAAACCTGGATCTCTGTGGTTAACTAACGTAATTATACTCTTAAGTATTTGTCAGGATTCATAGTGTCAAACTCAATTGTTACTCAACATGGAACAAAAACAGGTTAAAAGGAACACCATTTACAGAAGATTATGTAAAGGAAAAACTGTTGTTTCTTTTCAGTGGTTTTTGACCTCGTTATGTCAGGTTTCCTTTGAGATTTTGATGAAAGCTGTGGGTTTTTACCATAAAAAATTGGACAAAGAAATGTAAAAATATCCAGGAATTTTTAAACCAGAATCCCCTTTTCCTGTCTGCTCCCGTATGTACTTTAACCCCATTTTCATGTTCTCTTTCTCTCCATTCTAACAACTGTTTCTGGAATTACGACAACCAGCCCTTCTGAAAGATAGGGCCCTGAACCTCATTCATATTTGCCCTCTGTGGAGTTACTTAGGAAAGTCACTAAGTTTTATATTTATATTGTGATACAGTGTTTGAGTCACTTCATGTTGACTTTGGTCATAAGAAACTGATCTGTTAAATGTGCCACTGTATTTGCCATGAGAATGTTGTTAAAGAAGTTGATTCATGGGAAAGGCAGTATATACAGAGAAGACAAGTAATGATGCTATAGCATTTTACTACGCTGATGGACAGTGACTGTAATGGGGTATGTTGTGGTGACTTGATAATAGGGTGAGTCTAGTAACCATAATGTCCAAGTAATTGTACATTAACAATATCAAAAGAAAAAAAAAGTTGTTGGAGTGTAGCACAGAGAAGGCAAACAGTGAATCTGTGGCATCTTACTACACTGATGGACAGTGACTGCAATGGGGTATGGGTGGGGACTTGATAATATGGGTAAATGCAGTAACCACATTGTTTTTTCATGTGAAACCTTTATAAGAGTGTATATCAATAATACCTTAATAAAAAAAATTTTTTAAGTAGTAGTAAGATCTGATGATTGTCCAGGATGTTATAACACATTAAAAGATTTTTCAAATTAAAAAAAAAAAAGTTGATTCATTCATTCTTTTCTCATTGGCAAATATTTGAGTACCTCCTCTGTACCAGGTGGACTCTATGAATGCTCTTCTGTGGGCTCTAGACCCTGAAGGAGCAACCGTTGGGAACCTCTGAGCCAGTCTGAAACATGAAAGACTTCCCTGAAGGATCAGCAGTTAGCGAAGCAAAGAGGGTAGGACCCTGGGCTGCAAGAAGAGAGGAAAGACCAGAGGCTGATGCAGGAACTGCTGGGAACATAGTGTGTGACAGGCTGGTGAAAAAAGGGAGGATGTCCAGGGTGGGTACTGGCCAGTTACATACATTTTGGAAAGAGAAGTGCTAGTCTGTCTCGCAAATATCAAAGATTTGGGGGCATACATTTTACCTGTTAACCTCAGTCCTGATTCCATTTGATATGCCACTTGTTTTCTCTTGACCTCATTTTCCTCATAAGTGTTCAGTCCCCTATGTCTTGCTATATTGTATGTCTTTTTGAAATGCTGTAAATCATTTTAGCCTATGTTGATTGGGTGTACATAAAAACCAACTGACAATTGTAGGGATCCTTCTTGCCAAATCATCTTAGCGTATTAGTGAAGTATATGCCTTAATGTTTACAATAAATGCCCTCTCTACATTAGTGGGCTTTCATTAATTCATTGTAGCAATTGTGATTGACTGAATTATTCAAACATAGTTGCTCTTATTTAGAAAATGTGCACAAAGATCTAAAAGCTAAAAGCATAATATTGGCCTTTAAATGATGTACATCCCATTTATGACTTGTATGTTCATGTCTTCTTAGACTGTTTTCTAGTATTTGGAATATATGTAAATTACAAAGTTAATAAAATGGGGAAAGAAAAGATAGGAGGACAACCATAAAACTACATAGAAAATATTTTTTGTAAAAGATGAATGTTTGCCTAAGGCTGTTACAACTATCAGACCAAGGCTCAATATAATTCATTAGTTTTAAGGAGCTTGCATATGCTGTTGGAGTCATGAAGCCAATTCTAAAAGACTCAGGAAGTGTCAAAAGACTGTGTGTCAAAATCACTCAAACTATTCTAAAGCTCTAAGCTGTGCTTTGGTCTAATTTCTGAAGTAGCTAGATAGTTTCTGCCTGGACTTTAGTGATGGACAGTGTTCCTAAGGCCTTTTATACATGCCTTCATTTAAGGACTGGTTCTTGTAAACTACCTCACTGATGATGACTCCACAAAGCAGAGGACTCTAAACCAGGCAGTTACTGTGTGCATTGTGGTAGAAGTGATAGTGTGGTAGGAAGATACCTGAGAAACAATATTGTGATTTTTAGAAAAGAAAACAGATACATTTCATCATCTACCCTTTATTCTCAATTTACAGAGCTTGCATTGATTCAGATGAAGCTGGGGACTTGAGTAAATCCACCATATTGAGAAACTACAAAGAGGCCCAAGAATATGGTTCTTTTGGTACAGCTGAGATGTTGAATTACTCCGTTAATATATATGATGATGGAAACCTGCTGTCCATTGTGACCAGTGGAGGTATTCTATTATAGATTTGCTAACTAGAGATTAATTTATGAAGTTATAAGATAACTTCCTATAGCCAAAAGCAGCCTTATAGAGAATTTAATCTAGAGATTACAACTAAAGAACTAGATCTGGAGTAATAAATATGATTTGATTTCCCTGGCAAGTTGCTGTATTTTAAAGGGTAACCATGTAGGAGTCATTCCAAGATAACAAATGTGGTTCTATCACAAAAAAATGTATGAACATAATTTATCTTATGAGAAGTAATTGCATTTGTAAATATTAACCCTTGAGAAATTCACCCTTGGGTACAAAGAGTCAGATAAAAAGATCCTCATTGAACCATTCCGCGTAATTTCAAAAAACTTGGAAACTAGCTAAACACCTAGCAACAAAAGAATAAGTGTTTTCAACATTGTGCTTTATTCATACAATAGAATTATTACATAGCAATCAAAATGAATAAATCTACATATACCTATACTTACAAATCTCAAATACATAAATTTTAATGAAGAAATGTCTTAATGATTAAATATTTGTATAAACACACCAAATAACACTATGCAATGTTTATGGATATTGTGTGCTTGTATAGTAAAAATATAGACGGGAAGAATATATACACCAGCTTCCAGACAGTGGTACTTGCAGGAGGAAGCAAGGAGAGTGAAGTAGGATGGCTCTAACTCCTTATATTCCTCCACTGCAACTTTCTGAGTTATAGCTAAAGTACAATAAACTCCATGTATATATACACGATTTGGTAAGTTTTGAAAAATGTGTACACCTAGGAAACCATCACCACAGTCAAAATAATAAAAATGTTCATCATCCCCACAAGTTTGCTTGTCTTCCTCTGTGATTCAACCCTGTCTCCCATGTCCCCAGGCAGCCACTGAAGTTCTTTCTGTCACTGTAGATTACTTTTCTAGAATTCTCTGGAATTTTATATAAGTGGATTAAAAAATATGGCTTAAAATTCATCCTTGTAATTATAATGATTATAAATGGCTTGTTCCTTATTGCTGAATAGTATTTATTCAAGTGGATACATCACGGTTTGTTTATCCATCCACATTATCATAGACATTTGGATTGTTCCAACATTTGTGTACAAGACTATGTATGGAAATAGGGTTTTGTTTGATTTGGACCGATACTTAGAGAACTGGTTGGGTATGGTAGGTAGGTATGTATTTTACGTCTTAAGCTTCTAAGCTATTGTCTACAGTGGCTGCTCTCTTACATACTGGCAGAATGTGAGTGCTCCAGGAGCTCCACACCTTCTACATACCCTCATGCTGTGATCAGTCTGCTTAATTTCAGACACTCTAATTGGTAGGTGGTAGGAAAAGATATGTTTTAGGGAAAAATTACATTAAAATCCAGCTTTTCTGTTTTTACCGGAAAAAATAATATTGGGCCCAAGTTCTTACATGACAACAATTGTCCAGAGCAGAAGAGTCGCAGCATTGCACAGACCCTCTTAGAAGGGCCCCGTGCTCTCATTTTTCCTGGAGTTCCAACTACTCTGTTGTCACCAAGCATTAAGGCCAGTGCCATTTGGCATTTACCATCACACTTGTATTGTTATTACCTGACAGTAGTGGGATATTTCTCTGTACCCATGTCTTTTAAGAAACTTTTTCACTTAAAAATAAGCCTAGTTGTTTTGGTCTATTTTTGCTTTATTGATAGGTACTAGACATAGAGAAAGGTATGCAAATCACAAGTTGTACACACATTGACTTACCACAAAATAGACACTAATGCATACCTACCACTCAGGTGAAGAAATAACATTGTGAAAGCCCCCGTCATCTCTTCCTAACCAGTAACTGTCCCTTCATCTCCCGAAGTTAGCTACTGTCCTGATTTCCATCACCACATTGTTTAAACCACCTGGTAATGCTGTTTTTGTAGGTAAGAAATGATTAAATAGGGAGCAGTTTCACAGAGTTCAACGTAATGTTTTTACCATTTATATAAATGTGATTATTCAATATATACTTTTTGTGTGTGGCTTTAGATCAACATTATTTTGGTGTGCTCCATCTTATAGTGTATCGAAGTAGTTCAATTAATTGCTGATATTCAGTTCTATGAATATACTACATATCCATTTACTATGGACGTATCTTGGAGTTGTTTCAAGGTTTTTTGGATTGTATAAACAATGCCGCCATGAACATTTTTGCATCTTGTTTTTACTGCATATGTGCACGTCTCTGTGGGTGTGTAGGTAGAGGTGGATCTACTGGGTCATATGGGATGCCTAAGTTCAGCTTTGCAGGTGTGGGTCTGCACTGCCACCAGCAGTGTGAGAGCATCTCCCCATCCACAGTTGCCGAAAGTTTTGTAGGGGTCTCGTGGCTTCGATGTGCATTTCCCAAGTGGCTGATGGAGTTCATGTCTTATATATATGTTTATTCCCAATTTGGTTATCTATTTTTTTTGAAATGCTTCTTCAAGTGTTTTGCCTGTTTTTCTTTTGGGTCCCTTTTCTTCTGGATGGGAACGATGATGCTACTTGCCGGCTGTGAGCTCCGTCAGTCACGTGTGTCACGAGAGCATTCTTACCTTGGTGCCTCTGCTTTTCTTGGTGAACAGGGTGCAGAGTAGCATAACATAATTCAAAGATTCCTTTTTTGTGAATTATTGATAAGGTACTTAGGATAATGATATACGACTAGGTATTAAGATGAGAGTATACTTTGCTTTGATTATTTTTATCATATATGAAAATTTAACTAGATGGTTAAAACTTTGAATCTATGAAAAAAGCACTGTGTCATTTTCCCTTCTTTTTGCCTCTAGGAGCTCACGGAACACATGTAGCTAGTATAGCCACTGGACATTTTCCAGAAGAACCTGAACGGAATGGTGTAGCTCCCGGTGCTCAAGTTCTTTCCATCAAGATTGGTGATACGAGGCTAAGTACCATGGAGACAGGCACCGGCCTCATAAGAGCTGTGAGTGTTTGGGAGGAGCTGGTCTGGAAGGCCGTCTGGGGCATTTTTAGGTTTATAAAGTACTCTTGGATTACCAAGAATACTTGAAACTGGTGTATATAATTGTTTCAAAAAGTAAAAATGCTTAATTCATTCTAAAATTATTTTTATTAAAAATTACTAGGATAAAATTTTCATATTTCTCACTTCTAGTAAATCCCCTAGTAAGCTATTTCGTGATACTTTAAAATAAACAACAAAAAAAGTCTACTTAGCCAGTTTACTCCATCAGCCTAAGAAGAATTTAACTATTATCCTACATTTCATGTTAATATACAAATTATATTTTACTTTAGTGATTTTAGAATTAGTAAGAACCATTCCATAGCCTCTTCTTCTCTCCATCTCCTCTACTCCATCCTACAAGTACTAGTTTTTTTTTTTAACTTTAGTGATTTTAGAATTAGTAAGAACCATTCCATAGCCTCTTCTTCTCTCCATCTCCTCTACTCCATCCTACAAGTACTAGTTTTTTTTTTTTATTGGCTGCTTACTGTACTCTGTCCCTCCTATCTTCTCTTACATTTATTAGCCATATGCCCGGAAATAATTTATAAACTTAGATTCGAATCACAATCTGTTTGGTTAAGAAACTATGGGATTCCATGCCTTTATTTTACTGACTAATCTGTTTCTGTAAATTACTGCCTTAACTAGACTCTTGATCTTTCAATAGATGATAGAAGTCATAAATCATAAGTGTGATCTTGTCAACTATAGCTATGGAGAAGCGACTCACTGGCCAAATTCTGGGTGAGTGTTCTTACATACATTAGCTGTAGAACCTTAGCTGGTGAAGTAGTAAATGATTTTCACAACTGGGCTGAAAAAGAGCAGTTGTGGTCAGATGATACTGCACATCTTCCAGATGCCAGACCCAGTTCCCATGGTCATGTCTTTGATGTCACTGTTGCCTCCTAGCCAGGTAGACTGGACGGCACAGCCATCATTAGATTCCTCATCCATTGGCAGCCTGAACTCTTCTTACCTGACAAAATGCTAGGCTCGCTCAAGTCCCACCCATCCCTTCAGCAGTCCCACAGCTGACCCACTGAACCGTGCTGGAGACGCACACTCACCTTGCCCATAAGATCCCAGCTCTCAGACGTCACTCAGCACTGCCTCCAGGTGCGCTGCCTCCAGGCGTGCTGCATTTGCTCTTTCACTCCTGTGTGACCGTTGTCACCGTTTCTCCGAGAAGACCTTCAGCGACCTTCCCTTCCTTGCCTGGGCTCAGGTGCTTGCCTCTTTCTTTCCCAGAGAAAATAAAAGCACTCAGAGGGGCTCCGTGCCCTTCCTACCTTCTGGGCCTTCCCTCCTGTGTAACAAAGTGCCAGGATCAAAGCCACGTGAGCCCTTGGGATCTGGTTCCCATTTCTGTGTGTTTGAAGCCTCCTCCTGGATCCTTTCCCCTCCCAAATTGCTACCTGCAAAGGCATGCTCTAGAGCAAGCTAGCTTTAAGACAAACAGCCACAGTCCCTTCATTTCACACCACCCTCACTCACTTCCGGCATAATTGGCTGTCAGCTTGTGCACTCACTGTTCCCAGGCCCCTCAGTCCCCCTTCTCAGCCATGCCCCTTATCCACCCCAGTCAGCGCTGTCTTCCTGAGGCCAGGTGGTTTAGCCTTGACCTCATGTACCTCACCTTTTTTTCTTTGTAATAATGATTTTGAAATGACCTTCCCTAAAGGACTTACTCCTTGATCATCTCTCCTCCTCTCCCACCACCCCAGCCATCCATATAAACCTGTCCCCAGCTTTCTGAAGCTCTTTCATAAAGTCCTGACAAAGTACAAGTTTTAGGAAGCCAGACCCTCTTACTGTCATCAGGTAACTTCATTTCCTCGGATAACAGTACTAGTTTTCCCGTGACATTCCCTTCCTGCCCTGTAACAGGCAGCCTGTTGCTCACAATCATGGCATTCCTGCAGGCAACTTTGCCCCTTCTTTTGTTTCAGCATTTTATTTACCTAAGTTGTTTTCTCTCCTTTAACATTCGTCCTTTTAAAGTCATCTTTCCCTAATATCCTGTCCTCCATGTGTAGACTTCAGCAAGTCCTTGGCCCTGCACCTTCTTTATGTTGACCCCTTTACTGTCAAGTTCTAACCAGATTGCTGTGTTTTAAATATCGCTCCTGATTTCTTCCTGGTGTGCCCTATTTCCCCTTCTCCTTTGCTACAAGTTACAGATAAATAATAGGAAGCCCCTGAGGATCATTTCTGAATGTTACTTTAAGTGGAGGGTGGCAGTGAAAGTGCCTCTTGCCCCTGCTACCTAGTTACTGCTGGTGTTTTTGTATTTGCTTTTGATCCTTTTGTAGTTTATTTTCCCCATGTATATCCAGCACTGTATCTGGCATTTTCCCCACATTTAATCTGCTCTCGTAACTCCTTCCCCTCACTAAAACCCAACTAGCGTGTATCATGGGAAACAGCTCCATCATGTCCCAACAAAGGTAGATGTGTCAAAATGTACTTGGCCGTATGATTAAACACTGTTTTGGTATCATAAACTCTGGGAATAAAGCTAAGCATTCATGGTTTGAGAATGTTGTTGAGTGATTATAAAGCACACCTTCTTGTTTATAGCCACTGCTATAGTTCTATGTGGAACTCATATTTTAGGTGGGGTTTTTTTTTTTTTATGTAAACCATATTGAAAATTTTTCACATACAATAATGTATTTTTTGAAAAGTGGGGCAGTTTTTTATGCTTAAAGGTATTCTCTCTTTCAGGAGAATTTGTGAAGTGATTAGTGAAGCAGTGTGGAAGCATAATATAATTTATGTTTCAAGTGCTGGAAATAATGGTCCATGCCTTTCAACAGTCGGCTGTCCAGGTGGAACTACATCAAGTGTAATAGGTTAGTTCCCTGTTTTAGAAACAGACTTGCTTGATATCAAACGAAAAATTCTGTTAATCCAACGTTAATTTTATCTCCATCATATGCAAGACACCATGAATGCCCTCTGGAAACTGCAGTCTAGTAGGGACCTGCTTACCTAGAACGTGCTTTAACGTGGGCTAGAATAGAGTGTGTGGTTTCGTGGAAGTACAGATGCAGCGCTGCGAGATTGCAAAGGGCAGCCACTGCTGATTTGAGAAGCTAGGTCAGGCTTTCTGGAAGAAGTGTGGGAATGAAGATTTCAGTAGGTAGAAATGAGCAAGGGAAGGGCTTTGCAGACTGAGTGAACAACATAAATAAAGATACTTGCTTCAATTTTTGTTTATGGGGTATACCTACTTGTTTATGGTATAGTTTCCTCTAATTTCTCTTGGGATATGCAGAAAGAACCAGATGTTGAGTAAGGGAACTTTATGAATGAGAAAAGCAGTTAGAACACATTTGTTCCATGAATAAGTGGCTTTGGTCTTGAGGATATGCTGCAGTGTTGTCTTTCACTAACCAAGAAATGCCTTTCAACAAGAGTTAGGGGAAATCACCATCAGTTGCAGTCATAATATGAAATGATAAAATTAGCTTACGGTATTATACAGGAGCTGCCAACAGGTACCAAAAACCCCATAAAACATAACACCATCCCCATTTTTTTTACTGTGAGGTACGAATGAGGAGAATGAATTGAGAAAACAGTATGTAGTAAATGATACCTATAATTGTTTATTTTTGAGTTTGAGATCTATATAAGGCTTATTATCCCACTTAAATATTTATGACTGGATGCATGACTATAAAAACTTTGATCCTAAACAATTTTTCTGGTATTTACATCAAAAACTGCACGCGTGCACACACACACACACACACACACACACAAGCTATAACATTGGGGTATCAAAGTTTCAGAACTAATCCTTAAAATTTTTTGTTCTAAAATAATAGTAATCCTAGATTTATAGGACAAGCTTTTCTATTCATAGCTTCTAAATTTTAAGTAAGGCATAGCTTACTTTTGATTTAAAACCTCTGGCTTAATTCTATTAAATCTGTGCTTAGGCAACAGTGCCTGCCAGTGATATAGCCACTGAAATGAAACAAATCTGAAAGGTACCCAAAGATGAAAATACACTAGTTTGGTACAATACTTGGTATTTATACCATCATTTTCTTACTCCCCATATTCACTGACAATTTTAAACTAAATTTTGCAGAATGATTGCAACTTTATGTGGCAGCATAGTTAACCTAAATCCTCTAAATCACACACGTTTTATCGAGTCTTCTCTGAACTTAGGTATGTTATAAAGAATTAGGAGCTGGTAGACCTGGATTCTGAATCTTGTTTCTGCCTGTCATTGTGTGTTCAGTAAATTTTTTCAGTTTCTCTAGGCTCTGTTTCCAAATTTCTAAAATGAAAGAACTGAGTTTGATCTCTGTATTCTATGACTTTTGGAGTCTAACTCATTTGCCTTCACATATTTATCTGGAAATTGTCACATGTTGTGTCTTTGTTATGTGCTTATTATTACAGTCATTTTGGGGAGAAGGATGCTGCCAACTTGGGTAGAATTTTGGATACAGTAGCCATTTAAAAATAACCATTCAACTAGTTCCTTCATTTTTCTAAAGTTACATTTTTTTAAAACATACTTCCTTTTCTCTTTTACACATACACACAGTTTCAGATTCGTAATTATATTTAATCCACATAATCTGGTAGATTTTTATATTCAAAAGCAAAGCACATAGTGTTATGCCTGGTACATAGTAAACTTTCTTTGGTTATTAAATTTTCTTATCTTCCCATGTTACAAGAGAATTGTATAGGGATATGAAGCAATTTACTTATGGTCACACAGCCACGTAAACAGTGATTTAAAACTAGGATCCATATTTTGTGTCCTTTTTAATGATGATGTCTCTCCCATAGGTGTTGGTGCTTATGTTTCTCCTGACATGATGGTTGCTGAGTATTCTCTGAGAGAGAAGTTACCTGCAAATCAGTACACGTGGTCTTCCAGAGGCCCCAGGTAGGTTGAGAGTGGTGGGTGGGGCTCTTACAAATATTTTGTTAAACTACATTGTGGAGATGAGTGAGGTTTTGGCAATTTTACCGGTTCTTCCTGTTGATTTTTACTTTTTCATCTTCATTTGATTATCAGTTGCATTTTAGGAAACAGATAATTAAAGGAATAAATTACAGTTATTTCATTGTTAAATATATGACATACTATTCTGAGTATAAATTATTATGCTATTTTATTCATAATCCTTTTATGTAGATCTAAATGAAAAGTGAGAACTTGGTTATCTTTAGGAAGTAGTGGACCCCTACTACTAAAATTGTAATAATTTTAATACTTGAACTTTGGTGAAACCAAAGCCCTGAGCTCTTGTAAAGCACCAGTTCCAGGTCTGTGCACCCGTGTTGATGTTTTCAAAGTCATACCCTACTTTAAACAATATGTGGTGCAACATAGTAGGCAGTTCTGTTTTGATAAATGGAGCTCATCTGTTTTGGTTCCCTGGTGCCCTCTGTGAACTATATTTATCTGATTCCAGGAACTGATTATCTTTCTCAAGAGGTGTATTAGGTCCGAATTTATATAATCCCACATTGTGACCTCACTGGGCAGAGGCACCTTCTGGAAAATAAAGTCAATTTTAATTCATCCCTTTACCTCTTTGGAGTTAATTTTTTAAAGAGAACAGACTTTAAATTTAGTTCCACAAATACCCTGCTGCCTGCAGTAGATGAGGCATAAATGAACAGGCTGTGGTCTGGGTTCACAGTGCCACTGCAGAATGAGGGGATTGCTTAGGCAGGAGCAATCATTTCCCTTTGCCTTAGTGGGGAGATGGTATTTGAATTGTCCTTGAAGAATGGATAGGATTTTGAGAGATAGAAGTAGGGAGTTTTACATGGCAAGAATAGCATGAACCCAAAGATAACAGGTGTTACTATAAGAGTTTTGGGGAAATAACTATAGTCAGCTTTGTCAGAAGTGTAAAATACAGAAAAGGGAAGATGAGATTAGAAAAATTTGTTGGGATCAGATCAAATGTAATACTCAATTTATCTTCTGAGTTACAATTATCTTCCTAGCCATCTCTAGGTAATTTATTCTTAAAAAATAACTTCATTTCAGTAGTTTATTTTAACTGTCATTGAACACACAGCCAGGCGTGAATCTCCTGCATCAGCCTAACAGCTGGCCACAGCACCACACCACTGGAAAAGAGCATTTAGGGATAACAGTGAAAGTCGGCAAAAGTTTATGTTTCATACTCGGTTAATGAAAGTATTAACTATTAAACTTGTTAATTATCTTCTAAAATTGATTTTGAGATATTGTTTTGTCTTATAGTCAGTATAAAAACAAACTATTAGGGAATGTTTAAACCAGCCTTTGTCAATCTTATTTGCCCATAGAACATTCAAAAAATTATGTTAAGAAAACAACAAATTTATGAATTATGAGGGAAGCTTGGATTAAGGAGATCTTGGTTCACAAACCAGTTCTAAGAATTGAGAGAATTTGTTTCATGTTTATCATACTATAAACATGGAATATTACTGCATGTATGTGGTTTAGTTAATTAGATTCAATTACTAGAAAGGGTATAAAATATACAAAACATTGACAAATGATCACTGAACAGAGTATACTCTGTAGTGCTATTTATAAATTCTTTGTCAGGAAAGACTGTCATACATAGAGAATTTACTTGACTTTCTGTTATTCGCAAGTAGGGCATGTCTCTTAAAGACAGATTACCGAATAATGTCTCCATAAACATTTGGATTTTACTCCATACTGTATTTTAGAAGAAATATATCAGTAGGTTTTTTAAATTTAAGGGAACTTTGATATAATATGAATTTAAGGCTCTTAAAAGGAACATAAAAGGTTTCTATAAGGAAAATTATATTTTTAATACAATTTTTATTTACATTTCATGGAACACTGATGAAAAATGCTTTATGATTAGCCACTTTAACAGACTAGTGGGACATCAATAGAGAGCAATAGAAAGTAGTTAGTTAGAATTCATGGCTCTTTCTGGTTATTTTTTCCAGTTACAAGACACCAAATGTCCATTGTGAACATTGGGAGACAATAAAGATGATGCATAGAAGTAAAGAGCACCCTGATTCTCATCTGTCATTGGGTCAGCTGACCTTTTGATAGATACCCTTTTAGTCATTCTCCTGCATAAATGGGAGAGCACAGAGAGGAATTTTTGTTACTTACTGTTGTCACTCGTTAATACAGTATGAAAATCTTCACAGGTCCAGTAATTTGTTTTAAGATAATCACTAAAAGGAGTGCTTCCAACCCATATCAGGAGGAAGGTATTGTTTGCATTGCTTTCAGCTATTTGTAAAAATTGGAAACCAAATTGCACTAGTATTCTGAGCCAGTACTAAAGATAGTTCAATCAGCTGGGGGAAGGATGGTAAAAAGGAGAGGCCAGCAGCCTTTCTGGGGAATTGATGGCCACTTTTCCAGGGAAGAGGAAGTAGTGTGCCATTGTGTTGTTTCTTTACTTGGGGCAGAGCTTGGGTTTCATGACGATTCAAGGATGGACTCTGTATGGACTAACTTGCTGGTTAGCCCTTGCTTAGCCAAAGCCCTCTCAGGAAGACAGCCCTGTTGACTTGAGCTGTCCAGTACAGCAGCCACAAGTCACATGAGGTTACTCTGAATTGAGATGGGCTCTAGGTGTGAATTATACACCAGGTTTTTCAAGACTTAATACAAAGAAGAATATTGTTTTCTTATTTTTTTATCGATTAAATATTAAATTTATATTTTGGATGTGTTGGGTATTAAAGGTCTATTTTAAAATTAATTTTACCAGCTTCTTGTTAACTTTTTTTTTAAATGCAGCTTTTGGAAAATTATAAATGACTTAAGCCCCACATACTTCTATTGGACAATGCTACATATTACATTTTAAAGGCAAAGCTTCTACTTAACACAGACAAAAGTACATTCATCAAGGATTCTGAGCAATGATACTCATTTTCCCTCTATAAATATGCCCAGTGTCTTTTACACATAACAGACACACAGATCATTGCCACTTAAAAGGAAAAAATTGCTGCGTAGTGGGGAAATAGTTGCACTAGATGTTTTTCCCCATTGAGTCCAATGACTGCAAATAATCCGTGGTATTGTATGGTGACTTACTTGACCAGTGAGTTTCTGTGAACGCCTGTGTTCATCCGGTTTCGCCATCATAAGCAGGCTGTCATGGCTTTCCATTCAGTGCTGATGGGGCCCTTGGAGTGAGTATCAGCGCACCAGGAGGAGCCATTGCTTCTGTTCCCAACTGGACCTTGAGAGGCACTCAGCTGATGAACGGGACGTCTATGTCTTCTCCCAATGCCTGTGGGGGCATTGCCCTCGTTCTTTCAGGTGAGGATGTTGCTCGGTGCTTTACCTGCTTTGACTCACTGTGATGTCGAGATTTTTGGTAAGGTGATGGTGAATTTTTAGCTATTCTGCAAGTGTTTTTTAATCAAAATTTAATTACTTTTTTTCATGAAATAAAAGTGGCATTTTAAGATGAATTTTAAATTGACCATTTCATAGTTCACCTTAGTTTTGGTTCTAAAATCTGTGGTTTATAAGGTTAGGTAGCAGGTGTTAAGTATCTAGACAGTTTTATATTTACAGCATAAAAGTAAAGTCAGATAGTCACAAGAAGTAATTGGATAAATTTCCCTTACCTTTCTACAGATAGGTATTTTTGTTCTCTGAAGTTCTCATGATGAGAAAACCTGGTAGAATCGGCAGTGTCCTGGCTCAAAGTATAGTTTAAGGTGGAGAATAATTTATGTGATAATAGTGAGTTGACTGTGAATCCATTCATTCAGCAGATATATTTATTGACTGTTAATACTATCAAAGCATCATTTTAGCTCTGGAGTTAAATTAGTAAACAAAACACCAAAAATACTCACCCATGTGGAATTAGTATATTACCTTTGGGGAAGGCAGAGTAGGAACAAAATTAAAAATAGCTTATATTATGTTAGGAGTTAATTTATGTGGAGCAAAATGAAGTAGGAAAGGAGGTAGGAATTCCTAGGTGGTGTGTGGGAGGTTTACAGCTTTAATAGGTCACCATGGGCATCAACTCAAAGTCAGGGTGCTAGGCTGTTGTGAAGATCCACCCAACAAGTGTCCTTCTGGTCAAGTCCCAGGACTCTGCATCCTCATTTCCCGCCCTGTTCAACCTCACTCAATATTGTAAGGTCAGGCAAAGACCCCCTCACCCCTCCATCTTTGGGCACACTTTTCTCTCTGCCTAAAAGTCCTTTCTGCCATTTTTTTGGCCATGAAAACTCCTCTGCCTTTTGTAGGGTCTGACCCACATATCCGTTCCTGTTAAGAGTTTCCCCTTTTTTCAGATTCTGACAAAATCAGTCACTGATTTGCTCTTACAGTAGCACAGTATTTCCATGTTTGTTTTGCTCATTTCTTGCCATGTCATATGGGTTTACGTGTTTGCTGAGCTCTGGAGCGGATAGGAATGCTGTATGACTCATCTTTGATCTCTAACAACAGTCTTTAATGCAAGGCTGACAGATTGATGGCCTCTATATCCTCCCATGGAACAGTCATTCCCAGCCTGGCTGCTCCCCAGCAGCACCCAGGAAGCTTTGAAACAATACTAAAGACCAGATCCAGTCTCAAAGATGCTGGCTTTTGGTCTCACCAGAGACTGACTGGTCTCTGGTGAGGCTTCATTATGTTTTTTTGATGGTTTTAAGTTCCCCTGGTATTTATAAATGTGGCCAGTTGAAAACTACTGCCAGTCGCCATATTGTTTGACCAGCATACAACGATATTTAAAGGAAATGTCAATCAAATGTGTTTATGTACCTGCTTCATACATTCACATTACCTCTGCAGAACCTGTATTAATGCCATTGACTAATGGGAATGAAGTAATTGTTGAGTGAAGTCTTTGTGTGGTGCCAGCAGTTTGAATCAGACTGTTCAGTTCAATAATAAAAAAAAAATTTGAAAATGAGTGTTGAAACACATTAAAGCCAGATAATGTACATGTCACCTATTCTGGTGACAGGAAAAAGGTTTCAAGTGGCAAACTTTTCTAACACTACTTGCTTGTTTTCGTTTTTTAATTTTAGGTCTGAAAGCTAATAATGTTAATTACACAGTTCATTCAGTCAGAAGAGCTCTAGAAAACACTGCAGTGAAAGCTGACAATATAGAAGTTTTTGCCCAAGGACATGGTATTATTCAGGTATTGTTGTTTGTATGAAAAATGGGCAATAAATCATTAAGATAATATCTTAGCTATTGCTGGGTAAATTTCCTAATAATGATGATTGAATATAAGTGATTCAGATTATATGGCCCTGATTGAGTATATCTAATTCTAGATTATCTGAACTGCAAGCAAAGAGGATATGGAAACACATTTTGTAGTTAAGAGAAATTTGTCACAATAAGAAAATAGATACAGGACATATAGAGGGTGGAAATTCAAACCAAAGAGGTAGAGGGCATTACAAGTGATAAATTTTAATGGCATATAGAAGAGTTCCTAACTTTGGTCACTTGGAAATAATACTGGGAATAATGAAAGTGGAGTACAAAGTGAATCCAGTGGTTAGTGGTATTTTGTCTAAAAGGTATCTTCCCTCTCATTTGGGGTCACCATACAGTTTAGAGAGGTGAGTGTAGAAACTTTTTGGCTTAGACTTTGCTGTAACCGAAATCAGATTGGTAATTTGCAACAAGATATTTTCTTGATACACCAATTGTATCTTGCTGTTTTTATTCTTTTAATTAGGTTGATAAAGCCTATGACTACCTCGTTCAGAATACATCATTTGCTAATAAATTAGGTTTCACTGTTACGGTTGGAAATAACCGTGGCATCTACCTCCGAGACCCTGTTCAGGTTGCTGCACCTTCAGATCATGGCGTTGGCATTGAACCTGTATTTCCAGAAAATACTGGTGAGTATTAGACAGTTACACTGAAGTGCTCACATTTGTGTCTTAAATAAGTTGTATCCTAATAGAGAAATGTTGTTTGGGCTAATGTTCTAAAAGAGAAAACATCAGCAGACAATATTATTTTATTTTATTTTATTTCTTGAGTGGATATTAGATGTATTACTTTATTGACTTACTAATTTTTTAAATTTTTAACTAAGGTATTGTTAATATACATTCTTATAAAGGTTTCACATGAAAAAACAATGTGGTCACTATACTCACCCATATTATCAAGTCCCTACCCATACCCCATTGCAGTCACTGTCCATCAGTGTAGTAAGATGCTACAGTCACTATTTGCCCTCTTCTGTGCTAGTTTTCCCCGTGAAATACTATTTTAAATCTTACAGGTTTTAAAGGAAATACAGTGGCAGTTAGAAATCTTGATACAATAGCAATTCAGTCTGTTTGTGACTACCAAGAAAAACAGTAGAATGGGCCTTCGGTGACCTGGAGTTCTGTTAAATTGTGGATAATAAACATCAGATTCCTTTTCTTTCCCACACTTACTTGAATGTAAGGGTCTGGGCTGGAGAGCAGGAAGCAGAAGCAGCCCGGGAGAAACACAGCCCACTGACGACTAAACAGAACAGTTCTCGCTGGCTGGCTGGCTGGCGTCATTCCAGCTGAATGCTGTTGACACATGCAATGATAAAAAAAAAGAGCCACTGTAATGCCTTACTGTAAGGTGGTAGCTGTGTTGGGTGAAAGCATGAGTGGGTCACAAGTGTCCCAAAATGAAAGAAGGTTCTGCGACTTCTGTTTCAGCTGTGTTTTGAAAGCCTGTGCTTACTGCATTTTATAACTAACCAATCTCATTTGCTGAGCTTTTTTGAGAGAAGATAGAACTTTTTAAAATGGAAAGAAAGGAAAAAGTACTAATCTTTTTTTAACGTTTGACCTTTTTAATGACAGAAAACTCTGAAAAAATATCCCTTCAGCTTCATTTAGCTTTAACTTCAAATTCATCATGGGTTCAGTGTCCCAGCCATTTGGAACTCATGAATCAATGTAGACACATAAACATACGTGTGGATCCCAGGGGCTTAAGAGAAGGATTGCATTATACAGAGGTACGGGTATATCTTCATTTTTGTGTTTATTCTTTGAAATGTGTAAAAGCATTTTGTGTGGCAGCCCATTTCCCCATTAGTCTGAATTAGTCAAGGGTTGTTGTGCATGTATTTGTTTAGGCTGTTTGCCATTAGTTATGCAAACCACCATCAATTTGTGGTTTGGACCTTTAAATTTTAATAATAGATTAATTTATTCTGTGAATAGATTCACCTTTTTTTCCCCTCTTTTTTAAAGTCTATTTACAGATACTGAAACTAACTTTTTTCCAGGTATGTGGCTATGACATAGCATCCCCTAATGCAGGTCCTCTGTTCAGAGTCCCAATCACCGCAATTATAGCAGCAAAGTAAGTACCAAGTTGCCAGCAGCCTATGGTTACTGTAATTTTTAATGGCTGTTAGGTGTGAACTATTAAAGGATTAATAGGCCAGAACCAGGTGGCGGCTTTAGTCTGCCCCTTGCTTTCAGTTAAGGTGTCAAGTGGTCAGTCATGTTATTTCTTGTCCACTGAGAATAGCTGCTGGTATCTGTCACCTGCTTTGGCCCTGCCTTCCACCAGGATGATGGTGCCTCCTAATTGCTCAATTGAGAGGACATTTTAGCCCAATCCCTCTTCAGCAGCTGACAGTATTGCTTTGTCCCCTCCACACCTACCCTTTTCCCCTTGACTCTGGGATCCCTGTATCCTCCTGGTTTCTCCACTTTCCCAGTCACCTCCTGTTTCCAGACTCTTACCTTCCCAGCTGGTCTTCCACCCTGGAACCAAGGAACTTAGATCTGATCATTTTGCTTCCTGTCTAAAATATGTTAGTGGTATTCCCACAGATTATGCTTCTGAAGAGAGCAGACTGTGACCCTTCAAAGCCCACGTTTCATGTCATTCCATCCACCACATTGCACGTTTCCACCGACTCACCGATGCTGACCTCAGGGTTTCCTCAGAATGGTGCATTGCTCAGCTGATTCCTTTGTTTCAGTTTCCTGGCTTTTAACTTAATGACCAGGCAAGTTCCTGGTCATCCCTGGGTGAAGGGAATGCCCCTCAATCCCCTTCCCCCTCTCTCCCTACCCACGCTCTTCACCCATCCCCTTTGGTAACTGCTAGTCCCTTCTTGGAGTCTGAGTCTGCCGTTGTTTTGTTCCTTCAGTTTTCCTTGGTTGTTACACTCCACAAATGAGGGAAATCATTTGGTGTTTGTCTTTCTCTGCCTCATGATGTTTTTACATGCTATGGTCCAGACTTTAGTCAGTATGTTGTTTTTAATTTAACCCCATTTGACTGTGAGCCTGCAAAAGATACAGGGACTGTGTCTTATGTGTTCCCAGATGGAGCCCATTATACAGTATATACAAAACAACATTGTTTATTAGATGAAGCAGGAGATTGGGACAAGAATACTGGGAACAGTGGAAATTTCTGTGTTAACAGTTGCTGTTGAATTAGTTACACTGGTAAATATTAAATGTGCAATGGGTCTCAGTCCATAGGAAACATAAGATGAATTTGAGGAGATAAAAAGTGACATACACATGGAAAAATTTCAGAACAGTTGAATTATCAGCTATATATTCCCTAGAAGTCCAGTAGGAACTTAAGACAGTCTAACATGTAAGACTTAGGAATCAACTGAGACATGGTCTCCTTCAGGAAGTTTTCTTGGGTCCCTTTTTGTGACCCAGCTACATTTCATATCTTTCTTGCTAACACTCCCACTCTGTGCACAGCATGTTATGTTAAATATTTCTGGTTCTTTTTCTGTTGCCACTAGATTGACTAGGGCAAAGGAAAATATATTATTTGTTGTTGTATTTGTAACTCCTAATAACAGTGCCTCATATATAGTAGACACTAATTTAATGTTTATTGTACTGACTAGAATTTGTCCTTTGCATATACTTGAGGTTTCCATAGTGGGTAATTAGACATTTGACCTTTATGTTTCATTGATTTCTTACAAAAATGCTATGAAACTAGTTGCTTTCTTCCCTGTGTCATTCATTATGGCATGGGCAGGTTTTGGAGTTACAGAAGGGGTTTAATTTAATAGCAGTCTCAGCTATAAGACCGTATAATAACATAAACATTACCTTTGACTTTAATATTTAAGACTCGTGATAGTCCAGATTCTGATAACTGGAAAATCCTGTAAATGTTGTAGAATTCCTTTAACACAGAAGAGAGAGGGAGCTTTCTCGTTTTTGTGTGTGTCATGCAAATTACAAAATAGTCAAGTACAAAATAGAAAATATCTATACTGGACTGTCCAGTTTATCTCTACTTAACATGTTGTAAAATTGAGATAATTTGTGCCTACTGTTTTGTGACCTGCTTTTAAGTCCCTGTGTTTATTTCTAATGAACTATTAAAACTAGGGTACCAGCGGGTTCTTAATATAATGCATTTTTTATTGAGAATATCACACTTATCTATTTATTTTTATTTTCAGAGTAAGTGAATCATCACATTATGATCTAGCGTTTACAGACGTACATTTTAAACCTGGTCAAATTCGAAGGCATTTTATTGAGGTTCCTGAAGGTGCCACGTGGGCTGGTAAGTAAAATTAAAGTCTGTCTTGATCACATATCTAATGTACACTCTGTCTCCACCATGGTTATGGCTGTGTAAAGCCCATATAGCCATGATACATACTTTTCTTATAACAAAACTATATGTGGCACCCTAGGTTTGCTTATTAGGTTCAAAACTTTTTTCAGGTCTAGAACTATTTTGCGTTGGCTCATACATCAAATCATCTGCACTGTCTTAAGATGTTTTAATATTCAAGATTTTAACTTAGTTTAGAGTTATGCCTTACCAGTTATTGATTAGAGTCAGAGTCGCATTATTGACCAGCTCTGGGCTGTCATTCACATAGGGCCCTGTGGAGTTGTCTAATGTCAGACTCTGATAAAATACATACTAACGAGGTTAAAGAAGAGAAATCTATGGTTAATTAGTGTTTAATCTGATATCTGTTTAATGATAAATGCCAGTAATTATAATGCCCTAATTATGATTTGTTCAGGTTGGTATTGAAAGTAATTAGTTTTTAAATAAGAATTTATTGAAAAAGAATTTATTGGATGATCCAGAATGGAAGTAGCACAGAGCATTTAGCAGTCTTAGATTAGAAAAGTACTGTCAGGTGCAGGAAATGGGAACATGTTGGTCAAAGGGTACAAACTTTGACTTACAGGATTAGTAAGTTAAAGGGATCTGATGTCCATCATGGTGACTGTAGTTTACTATATCATATACTTGAAATTGCTGAGAGAGTAGATCTCAGATGTTCTCGCCACCAAGAAAAACTGCTAGCTATGTGAAGTGGATGTGTTAATCTTACTGTGATAATCATTTCACAATATATATGTATATATCAAATCATTACAGTGTGGACCTTAAATTTACACAGTGTTACTTGTCAGTTATATGGGGAAAAAAAGAGTCAAAGCAAAAAAAAAAAAAAAGTATTACAGATGAATCCTATTTTACCTAATTAGAAATACTGTCATAACATTAAGATTTTGTATTCTTAGCACTTGAATATGTTCACAGAGCTCTGTGCCCACTTGATCTTTTGAACCAGGGAATTAAGTCTTGTTGTAAGTCCCCCTGCATTAGACCAGGCATTCATTAGATAAGCTGCTCATCTTGCTTCATGATGATTTTGGCTTACCTCCAGCTCTGCCTAATAAAGCTACAGTAAATAGGTAGTTAGATGATCATCTTTTCTAGAAGCAAACAGGACACAGACCAAGAGAAAATGAGTGCAAAGTAATCAGTGACGTGGAATAGAGAGATACCAATGGAATTTAGGTACGCTAACAGACAGAGGTTTCTAAAATGAAAATCCTCTTGGCTTCATTAGGAATGGATTGATTTTCAGCCAAAGCAAGAAGAAAGGTTGAACTTAGAGGAGAGCAGGATTTTTAAAATCTCTATAAATTAGGGTAATCATATGTCCATTTACAGACAGCTTGCTATTTCATGGTGTTTGTAGTAGACTGGTTGTTCACGTTAAAAGTGATTTATTTCCTGTAGCTAAATCTTCCACCCTTTCAGCTTTATTAATATTCTATTGGTTATTTGTTTTTAAGGAAATGTGCAGATTTTGTTTGAATATATTGTTTTATTCTTGATATATTATTCCTTAACAAGTAAGCATCATTAAACCATTTTATGTCCATTTTAAATCTTAGCAGTTTAAGATTTTGCTTCTTCCTTATTTCAGAAGTCACAGTGTGTTCATGTTCCTCTGAGGTGTCAGCCAAGTTTGTTCTTCATGCAGTGCAGCTTGTGAAGCAGCGAGCCTATCGAAGCCATGAATTCTATAAGTTTTGTTCCCTTCCAGAAAAAGGAACACTGACTGAAGCTTTTCCTGTTTTGGTAAGTTTGAGTGAACAGTTCAGAATCCTAACATGGTTTGTTTCCTTTTGTGGATGGGCTAAAACTAAGTTTTTGAATTTGATTTTATAGTTTGTATTCAGAGCACATTGGGGCTATATATTTTGTTAATGCCAAATAAAGTAGGAAAATAGGGAGTCTTAACTAGGATACAGACTGAGTTAGCAGTAATTGTTAGTCTCTTTAATTCTTGAGTCCAAGAAAAGTACTGCCCTACTAGAGCAATGCCTTGTAGTATGGACCCTGATTGAGACTGTTTCCTCATTGTACAGCAAATTATTTCCTTACTTAAGATTTTTCTACGTGTTTCCACTTAAATAATTTGTTAGTGCCCCATTGTGAGGAGTCCATGAGGTTAATTTGCTTTATAGGTAGCACTGGTATTGCTTCCTACCTAAACCTCCTTCAGATGTGGCAGCTCTCCATTCTGTGTGTACTCTGAGAAATGAGGACAGTCGTTCCTCCATAGAAGGTGAATGTACTGCTGTTCTTTCTTAAGCTTGCTATTTAGTGTTTTCAATTTCATATATCTATTATGTTTCTGATTACGTTGCTTGTGTTCGTGTATGTGATACATGATTTATCTTTAATTTCCTAATGTGCTGTTTACTAGAAAATTTAAAACTCTGTACTAGAACAGTTTTCGTTTTTCATTTTTTTTAATAGGGAGAAAGATGTAAGGGACCAAAATTCATTTTGCTTTGGTAGCAGGCATCCTGACCTGGAACTCCACTGTTAGTATGGATTGTGCCTTACCAAGCTGTGACATCCCTTCTCTTATTGTTTTTCTTACTAGTCCTTTGGTCTTAAGTCTTTATTCCAGTTTGTTTTCACCATTATTTTATTGTAAGTGCTTTCATGCTGCCACAAATCTTTTATAACAAGCAGTGTAGGCTGTATGCTTAAATGCCTGTACTCTGTCTATGCAGCTGTGATACTCATAACTCCAAGAATAGCTGTGAAAGGTTTTTGAGGGTTCTTGCTATACACATAGGAAAAGTTTGGAAGTGTGGACTTCCTTTGAAACATCTACTATTTATATTCTATAATTTGAAGGAAAATGAGAAAAGGCATTTACACATCTATAATTTTTATTTGCAGGGTGGGAAAGCAATTGAATTCTGCATTGCTCGCTGGTGGGCAAGTCTTAGTGATGTCAATATTGACTATACTATTTCTTTCCACGGGATTGCGTGTACTGCTTCTCAGTTAAATATTGTAAGTTCTACGTTGCTATCATTTTTTAATGTCAGCTATTTGTGTTACTGAAAAATAATCTTGCTGGTTGGATTTAAACGTTAATAGGGAAATTACCTGTGGTTCTAAAATTAGCGGTAGTCTTTTGTTTGTGGGTGCTTTTGAACTTGGCCATAGACACATTTATTTTAGGTCCAAATACTGTTTGAAAATACAATTCACTTTCAATAAAGTTTGAGAGGAACTAATTTGATAAATATCCTTTGTAGCATGCATCAGAAGGAATCAACCGTTTTGATGTTCGGTCTTCCTTGAAATATGAAGATCTGGCTCCCTGCATAACTTTGAAGAGCTGGGTCCAAACACTACGGTATCATTAAGTTTCAGGGCTGCAAATGAGGTTGAATATTGATGTGGTAGGGGGGAGGTTCTCTTATGTCTTTGAAAAGAATTGTTTCATTAAATCATCTTAATGATAGAGGTGACAGTACAGTTTATCACTTCCCAGCCTGGGAATCCTGGCAACCCTCAAGAGCCACAGCCTCTGGGCTTGAATAACATGCATGTAAAGCTCTCAGTGTGACAACTGTCAGGGCCCACTCTGTTAACATGCAGCACTTTCTGCAGTTTGGCTGAAGGGTACAAGTCAAAACCTCCTTATCCTTCAACACTGTTGGCAGTTGTCACCCTAATATTAAGAACCAATTAATAACATTCAAAAATGTCTTTGTCATGAAAAGATTACCTCTCTAATATTGCAAAATTAAGTCATGTATTGCTGTGGTTCAGTCAGAAGAATTATGTAAACTAATGATTAAAATATTATGAAAAGGAATGCTCATTTGTCACTTCTTGTGATGTGTTGCATATTTTTTTGATTTAGTTTCTTTTACCTCATTAAGTGAACTCTTGAATCAGTTATGTAAATTGTCTAATTACAGCCCACTGAGTGCAAAAACAAAACCATTAGGATCAAGAGATGTTTTGCCAAATAATCGTCAACTTTATGAGATGATCCTGACTTACAACTTTCACCAGGTGTTTGTTTATTAAAATATACCTTTACAAAGTTTATGAATCAGAAAATCAAAAATGGGAGGATGGGATAATCTGTATATAAATGAATGTGTGTATCCACACACACGAAGTAGAGTCAAGTAACTAACACTGGTTAATTTGGATTATTCTTTGGGGAATTATGGTTTGTAATGATCTACATGCCATTCGTGTCTGAAGTCACAAATTCTAATTTAGTGGTGACCTCGCCTTTGAGCTTTAGTTTCTGTATTCATGGATGTCTGTTCAGCGGTTCCTGTTTTGTATGACCTGTCTGGTGGCTAGACTTCATGTCAATGCTAGATGCCTTCTGGTAACAGTAGTGGACCTGATGTTGGGACAGTGAGATGTCAGAAACTCCTAGGTTGAATGGGTGGCAAAGGTAGTTGAGGATTGTATAAATTTTGGATCAAAGAATTTATGCAGGATCAATACAATTTCAGTATAACTCTTATTAAGGTGTAATATGAACTCGGTTTTAATGTTTGGCAGATGATGGATTATAGAGAATTATCAAATTTCAGTTTTGTAAAGTGATTAGCAGTCCTGAAGAATATATATTGTATTCATTAATGAATAAAAATAGCTAGGTTTTATTTTTAAAAGTTTGCAAAAGAGAAATACCCTTTATTGGTGCCAACATACTGGATGTTCTACATTTTTTTAATTGATTGCCACAAGAAAATATTCTTAATACTTTTAATATAAAATTCTACCAATAACAGTATTACAAATCGGTACCAAAAATCCTGTAAATCATGTCAAATAATCATTCTCATTTTTCTATAGCCCAAGAGTGGGGAAGTAACTCCAAGCTGCCCACTACTTTGTGAATTACTTTATGAATCTGAATTTGACAGCCAACTGTGGATTATATTTGACCAGAACAAAAGACAGATGGGTTCAGGCGATGCTTATCCACATCAGGTATAGAACTGTCAGTGATTTCTTATTAGGGTAATACTTGTTTTTTTGTTAATGACACCATTTTGCATTTAGTGCTCTGACACCACTTGTAGCTCAGCGGTCTGTTGCAGAACAGACTGCAGCAACTTTCCAGTCTTCTAGTTCAGGTGGATCAAGTTTTGGGGATAGCAGAGGGCAGGGATGACACTTGCAGACACTGGCTGGCATAGTGTTTTATTTCTAATATTTCTCCTTTCTGCCCACTGCTTCTACCTATTTGAAGGCTGAAAGCAAATATCTGAGACATGTGAGCACCTTGAAATGAGCCAGGTCTGAACTGATGAAGAGCACTACAGCCGAGCCAGAGGTCGCCAGCTTATGAACTTCCGAGTTCCTGTCTTTCTGGGACAGCTGTGTAGTTAGCACTTACTGTATGCCAGGCACTGTGCTTGACCCTGTTATAGTGAAGGGGGAAAAGTCCTCATCATGTAACTTAAAGAAATTTTATCCCTTATTGAAATAATGTTACAAAGAAATGAGGTGTTTTCAGTAACATTTATAATTTTATGCTAAACAATGAAAATAATTTATGCAAGGTTTTTTTTCTTTTTTCTTTTCTTTTTTTTTTTAGTTAGCCATTCAAAGAATGGTTTCCCCTTTTTCCTCTCAAAGCGAGGCCCAGTCATGTGTCCTCAGTACAGACTGGGTTATTGCATTGTGCCCCTGCTGTGGGTGCTTTCAGAATCTCTTCAGAAGAAACTGCTGGTGCAGAGGACAGCATCCCATCCCTTTGAGTAGGCTCACTAGATGGAGCGTAGTGGATCTGTGTTCCTTAGTCTCTGCCTTGGCTCCCTGTTTTTACAGTCTGTGATAAAGGGGTGTGGCATTTCGGTTTTAATGTAAAGATTCCCAGTCATGCTTATATACATGTGTGTACATCCATCTTAGATAGTATATAGCACCTCAATTTTGCTAATTTTTGGTGGTCTATACAGGTCTCTAAGACCCATGAACTAGAGAATGATTACTTGTATCAGCCTGGAGCAGACACTGAGTTAGTGTGAGTCGCCCTGTTGTGGGGACAATGAGAGCTTGGGGGTTAGACCTGCCTTCAGCTCCTGATCCTTTATTTACTCTGTGTGACCAGGGTCCCTCGGCTGCTTACTGCCCTGCACAGTTGGGACTTTGTGTTTGTATAAATGTGTGTGCACTCCAGCTCACCTGCTGGAAGCAGTCTGTAAATTGTGACTCTTCCTGTTTATACCTTTACTATCATTTCCGTTGAACTTGGCTAAACTTTCCCCAATGTTTTCTTTTTTAGTATTCTTTGAAACTGGAGAAAGGAGATTATACAATTCGACTACAGATTCGTCATGAGCAGATCAGTGACTTGGAACGTCTTAAAGATCTTCCATTTATTGTTTCTCATAGGTTATCTAATACTTTGAGCTTAGATATTCATGAAAATCATAGCCTTGCACTTCTAGGAAAGAAGAAGTCAAGTAATTTGACATTACCACCCAAGTATAACCAGCCATTCTTTGTTACTTCCTTACCTGATGACAAGTAAGTGATAACGTCGCTTCCGCTTAGTGCCTGTCTTCTAAACTGTAGTCGTTTGATGCGTGTTCATTGCACTGGGTGAATTGATAGTACGTAGTCATGTACCCTTTAGACAAATGTTTTGATTTTTGAAATTTTAGCCATGGGGGTTATTTCAGAATGCAGTTGTTTTAATGTTTTTCCCCATAATAATCTTTGTGAAATGTTTTCTTTTGTTCGTTTTTTTTCTCTTTCGAATCTTCTCATTAGAATTCCTAAAGGGGCAGGACCTGGATGTTACCTTGCAGGATCCTTAACATTATCAAAGACTGAACTTGGAAAGAAAGCTGTAAGTGTTCATTTTTTTTAACACCGAAATTACCTATTCCAAAATTTCTAGTTCTTTAAAGATGGGAATCAATTCCAAATACCAAAATGGGTAAAGGAGATCATGTCCCTGGAAAAACAATCATTTTATCCCAATTTACTAGTAAAGGTCAGTTAATACTTGGTTGTATTTTTAAAATATTTAGTGTTCTTTTCCCAAGCCTAAGTATTTGGGCCCTGAACCTGACCTATATCATATAACTAATATACTTGAATTCCTGTGAAACACATATATCCAAATTAGACTTGGCTTTAAGTGAATGGGATGTTTGAAGCATTTTATAGAATTTTATTCAATATAATACTGTGGATATAGGAATAAATCAAATTTTGGAGTTACTTCTAGAAATTAGACATAACAATTATTACTAATGAACAGTATTTTCACAGTTGTACAGATCTTTGTCTTGTTTGAATTTTGCTTAATTGTGTGGATAATCATAAGATGGTTTGGCATTACATTTTATTTTACAGTTACTAAGTCATTCTTTTTGTTTCAAACACATTTCTGGTTTATACATTTTAAAGATAAATGTTACAGTTTGCTAGGTACCTGTTTTAGTTTTTCTGTCTGTTTTCACTACAAATTTATTATGAGAATTGTGTTTATGTTATAGATAATCTATCATCTTTGTCACAGTATCATTTTAGCTCAGTGCCAGTAAACATGGTCATTCTTACAGTTTTACATTTCTCTTTAGCTTAGTTCTTACAAAGTAAGTCTACCACGTAATGCTGGAATCTAACTGCTGCTATCAAAATGATTAGATCTCATACATCCTAACAAGTATACTTACTTCTTGCCACTGCCGAACCAAAGGTCATTATCACAGAAGCATAACAGGAATTTTGTGTTTAGAAAAAGTTGTTTGCCCTAGCATTTTATGAGTCTCATTTCAGTCTATCCTATTCATTTATATGTACCTTAGTATAATTTGAAGTGAATCAGTAGTTGGTGACATGGAATTCATAGATGCACAAAAAATTGAAGAAGTTCTGGTGGTCTTTTTTGGTAGACTTCATTGCCCAGGCAGCATGGCTGCTCCTGCCCTGGGGTTTCAGTCACAAACTTTCATGGAGGTAGTTCTTCCTAAGTGTCCGCTTCCTTGTTATGAGTATGACAGAAGAGCATTGTTACGAAAATATGCTTTTAGCAACTCAGAGATGGTTACTGCTTCCTGGCTTCATTCTTTGAGAGGCAGGCGTGAAGTTAAACTATAACCGTGTGGGGTTAACTATAGTTATTGTTGATGGGGTAGGTTTTCTTGAGAGAAAGCAAACACCTCAAAATCTAGAGTTAATTATAATTCTCAACACAGGGTCTCCTCTCACCTCAGTAGTTGCACATCTCTTACAGTTTTGACAGTTGGGAAGGGGACTGGTCTTTTCTCATCTGACTTCCAGGGTCACCACGATTGGTACTTGTTCCAAGAATGCACAGTTGTATACAGTTGTTGTGACATCTGTGAAAATCAGACTCTGCACCCTCAGCTAAATTTCATGTTTTCAAAAGTGTGATAACACAAGGATTTTGCTCTACTGAGTTTTTGAAATACAAAGTTGAAAAACATTTGCCATTAGGAATAACATATCTGAGTACCTTTAAAAAAAAAAAAACGAAAGTGGCAATGTTGCTTCCTTTACAAGCCTGCCGTTTTGATCACAGACCTGACCCTTCTCTAAGTACTGTGACACATACAGGTGGAACGTAAACTGGAAGAGAATTAGACAGAGGTGGTGTCTCCATCCTGTGCAGATCATGCACGTTTTCTTACAGAATGTCGTTCTAACTCCCAGGGGCAGTCTGCAGCAAAACGACAAGGAAAATTTAAAAAGGTACTGATCGTCAGTTCTTAAAAAGATGTCTTAAAGCCTATTTGCATATTAGTTAAACTTTTCTCTGTCACTATTGCAAATCTTTTTAAAAAAATCTGTCCCTTAGTTTCCTTCCTTTAGTCCTGCAGTATAGTGCTTTTAGCTTATCAGTGTTGACATACTGCTCTCTTGAAGTTTTTCCCTATCATAAATTGCTGAAAGACTCTTGTTTTATATGTGTGTAGAAAAAAATTCAGTGTGATTCATTCTTACTACAGATATACCAAGTAATAATATTTGAGATTTGGGATTATCTAAAACCCTGTAGAGAGATGGATGTGGTTTTCTTTTCTTTTTCTTTTTTTTTTAGCTATATAGGGCAAAACAATTATGTAAAGTCTAAAAACATTCTTAAGTTGGATGATTTGATTAATAAAATATTAGTAAGGTATTTGAAGTGAAATTTATTCCCTGCTTTTGCACCGTCTTAGTTCTAAGGGCAGAGAAAAAGCAGTGGACAAAGGAGGAACAGAAATAAGGACTGTTTACCACAAATTAAAGCTGAATTCACTAATTAGAGCCCAAGCAGATTTAAAGCCATAAGTAGTAAGTGATCTGATGCACTTTCCTGCAGCACATTAAACAATCTATGATGGACTGCTAGAGCCAACCCGAACTCAGAAAAGTCTACTTTGAATCTTCTTAGAGAAAGGGGTACATGGCAATGAGCTCTTTCAGGTGAAGGCCTGCTGACATCATTTAGCATTTTAGTGATGTTGGATGTTGGAGCAGGAAGCACTGCAGTGGGGGAATTAGTATTTTACGGTATAAACAAAAGATAACTCAGTTTCTTCATAGTAATATGGAACTGGGGATCACCATTTTATAATAGGTTAAACTCCTTTATTAAAAAGACTTCTGAAATGTCTGTTATTAGGTAATGGTAAATGCTTGGCTTTTGCAAAGCCCAGCACTGGGAATCATCTTTTCAGATAAAAGAATGTCTGCTTCCCTATAGACCAGTATTTCCAACTGAGCGACTGTATCCATTTGTGGGCCTTTCCATTCGTTTAATGAAATATAACCAGCATTAGAATGAAAACCGAAAAGAACAAATTGTCATTTCATCAGACTCATAAAACTAATTTTATTTTATCTGTAGATTACTTATTTTTGGGTCATTGTGAAAATAACTCGAGGCCCCTGCTTTAGAGATGAGGAAAAGGTGCTCTAGAAGCCCATTAAAAATAGAAGGTGCATATCACAAAGGCATAGTTACTCTTTTTTCTTCCTGTTGTATATTTTGGTTGATATTTTGGGAGTTTTGGTGGGTTTTATTTAAATTAGGTTGTATGAGATAGACACCTTTCAAATGAATAAGAAGGTTATTACTTGATAGCCTTATCAAGTAATAGTTGATAGTAAAGCTCCATGTGAAGAACTCGACAGCTAGAGTTCCTCTTCCCATTTTTGTCTTCAGTCCAAGTACATATGAAGGTCTTACTTTAAAAATAATCATTATTATAGTGTTGTAGCCACATCCCAAAATACTGTGTGTTTATGTGTAGACATATATATGTAATTTATTGTCTGAAGTGTGTAATACAAAGGATTTGTTCAGGTTTCAGTGACTTGATTTGAAAGTGTATGTCACCCTCTTAAGTTCATTGTAATATGAAAGAATCTGTTAGTTACTTTTAAAAAATATGTTAATCTTTAAAATAGCTATTTTAGATTGTGTAAACATATTAAAATAAGAATTTAGTTGCTTGTAATCTGAAAACTAAGGAAATTGTAATTTTTGAGCTAAACTTTAAATGGTGGTATGTTATTGTTACCCAAAGATAGTCACTGGATTTGTGGGTAGTTTGACTTTCTGAATAGTACTGTTCAATTCAAATACCATTGAAATACTTTGTGAATAGCTGGAATAGTATATAAAACCAAAAGCATAAAATAAAAAGTCACTGTTAAGTATCTACTAAAGAGAAAGAACTTAAGCATTTCTACTCTGAAGATTCTTCTCGACTATCTTTTTAGATCATAATCAAGATTTCTCAAGATTTCATAATACAAATCATTTCTATTAAATTGACTCTATGCTGAGTCCTTGAAAAATGAGTTGCAAAAATACTGACAAAAAAAACAGGTGACCATGATAATTCAGATGAAAACTAACTCCATTTCTCTTTTGTTTGGGAATTAAACCATGTTCATACTTTTTCGTAATAAAGAATTCTTGCCCTGAATAATTTTATAGGATTTTGTTAACATTTATAATTGCTAGTTAGATACATTTAATATATAAAATGCTGATTACAAAACCTTGATCTTTTTTTTCCTAAGGTCATTCATTATGAACTTTGCCTTCTCTTTTGTGCTTTTCATGATAGTTTATGGTTGCTGGTTGAGTTTCTTCCTATTTCTATAAACTCTTTGTTAGAGTTCATTGTTAATCATAAATGAAGTTTAATGGATCCAGTCCTATTTTCTCTCTTCTGTACTGAAACTTAATAGCAAATACCTCACCTCTGAGCTTCCAAGATGGAATTGCCTTACAGTAGAGGTTTCCCATCCTGAAGCGTGTCCCTCTCCCCAATGAGGCAGCAAATACGGGAGCTCAGGGAGGCTCCTGCTAGGTTAGGATGAATGCGGACTGCCAAGTCTTACCAGGCAAGTGTTATATCCACATTCTAGTGTACTGGGTGGTTCGGAAGGGTGCTTCCAAAGAATAGGACCACATGAACAGCGAGTGCATGTGGGAGGCCATTTATGCCCCTTTATTTCTTCAGTAAATTATCAACTCAAATTTTGCAGACACACTTGACCTCCTTGGCTTTGCCTGGGTGGTGCCACCTAGGAGAGTGAGCTCAAGGAGAGAAAAAGGATGGGTGTAGGATCCTGAAGCTGCTCACTCGAGCAGTTTCAGACTTCGCAGAAGACTTTGCTTGCAGGCTGTGGCTCTCTGACTGCAGAGAGAGTGTGGCTCCGAAACAGCTGAAAGTAGATTCGTGTCGTGATTTCACATCAGTGGCTTCCTGCTCTTTAAATGAGTCATATTGAAGTAGTAGTTACTGTTTTATGTTGAAATACTACTAGAGTATTTCCTTACGTTTACTATTATACCCCAAGATAAGGTTTGTGAAAATTGTTAAAATGGGCGTATTTATGTAGTATTTACACCTAAAAGTCCTATTTTGGTGAAGATGGGGGCTTACAATACTATTTTTTTTACTCAACCTATGTAAAGTTTTTTCTGGAGTTAACTGTGATTATGGCAGTATAAGTCTTTGAGTGACATAAGTTGTTCTAATTTTAGAAACTTTGTTAATTAAGACAAATACAAGATTTTAATTTAGCAGCATTCTTAACATAAACCTGAAGAGATAATTTGAGAAATTGACTTAAAAATAATTTATTTAAGGACAGCTATTGTGCCAGAAATGGACCCTGCAAGTGAAGCATGTGCTCTTATTCCCCCCATGGTGCATCTCACTGCTTTTCATAAGACATGCTGTAATAGAATAGATGGATGTAGAATTACTCATTTCTCTGCTTTCTTCCGAGCAGAACTTCTCAAAAGAATTATTGGTACTTGTTGCCTTCCCATTTTTCTTCATCTCTTCCTTGATCAACCTCTTCTCCCCAGCTGTCCACTGAAGCTGCTCTTGTCCTGGTGATCAGTGACCACTGCTGCCAATTTCAGTGACTTCCCTCTTTCACCCCCTCACCCCGTCTGACACCACCTGTCTCTTCCCACCAGCTTTGCCCAGGCTGCCCCAACCTCACATTCTCTCCGACTGCCATCTCGCCATTCACAGGGCATTTGGAGAGAATAGCAGGGGCCCCCGCTTCCCTCGCCCACCCTGCCTTGTCCATCCATGCCCTGGCTGAAACGTCATCACTGTTTGTTCTGCCTGCACTGAATGTCCCAAATCCCATTGTTGCTTCCTTTTCTACAACCTGTTCTTTGCTTCAAGGCAGTGCTGGGGCTCTTGAATTTGCTCCCTTCTTGTCCCACTTCTGCTCCCATCATCCATTCTCCAAATAGCATCAAGAGTTCTAAAAACAAACCAAGATTTTTAATACATACAGGATCCAGAGTCATTAAACATAAAGCAGAAATCTGCAATCTCGTCCCTGCCTTAGGTACAACTCTTCAGGTAGGCTTCCTGTTGCCCCTAAAATAAAACCTACATTGTTTTACCTATTTTTGTGAGCCCCACTCATTACAGTCACTTCCCACTTGCTCTGTGACCCAGCTCAGGTACTGGTGTGTGCTCCTCTTCTGCCTTCAGACACTCTTCCTGTCCTCCTTTGGGTCACCTCACCTAGGTCATCGAGGCTCATCGAAATCTGTAATGGCCTCTTCAGAGCGGCTCGGTCATCGAGGCTCATCGAAATCTGTAATGGCCTCTTCAGAGCGGCTCTCCGTAACCGCCTTGTGCGCATCAGCTCTCCAGCTGACCCAGCAGTCACGCTCTGTGCCTTTCTTCTGTTTTTTCTTCTTCGTATCATGTGTTGTTATCTGAAATTATTTTGTCTACTAACTTGTCTTCCACCACTAGAATATATGTTCCCAGAGGGCAAGAAAGGGCCTGTCCGCTTTGTCTTCACCTCTTAGAGCTTCACCTGGCACATCACAGGGACTCGATAAGTCTGCTGATTGAATGAAGAAAGAAATTTCTCTTTAGATTTGCTTAAGAAGAGGGTCTTTTTAAAAATTCTGTTACTTCCTCCCCTTCTCAGATAAAAAAATGAAAGCCCAGGAGACTTTTGTAATTAGTCAAGCAAAACTGAGAATCCTAAATGTGCTAAAATGAGAAAAGTGTGTTCTTATCTCCTTTATTTTAAAGGAGGTATTAGAAGTAGCAGTACTTTTGGGAGAAAATTCCTTTGGCCACAGATTGGGATTTTTGATGTATTGTGGCCCTTAAAATCTGGATTACAATGCAGTATAATTCAACTGCAGCCCATGTTATATGAGATTCAGGTATTGAAGATGATTTTTAAAACCTGTAAAATTAAACATGTTCATCTAAGATACTTTGTACATTCATAGGATGTAATCCCTGTTCATTATTACCTAATACCTCTACCAACAAAGACTAAGAATGGCAGCAAAGATAAAGAAAAAGATTCAGAAAAAGAGAAAGACTTAAAAGAAGAGTTTACTGAAGCATTACGAGATCTTAAAATTCAGTGGATGACAAAGTAAGTTTTTAGTGAATTTTAATCATCTTAAGTGTTTATTTTCCTAGTTACAATATTGTGTGTATACGCACAGGCTATATTCAAAAATGTTAACAGTGGATGGTAGGACTAAAGGTGCTTTTAAATTTTCTTGTAATTATTTTTTTAATTCTCTTCTCTGATAAGAATTTTTCCAAATTTTAATCACTTAATTCTGATTTGCTCTTGGAAGAGAATTTTATTGGAAGGTATAAGGAAGAAAATAAAAATCACTTTTTTGCCCACCATCCAAATATAATCATTGTTGCCCTATTAATATTTATCTCTATACTTATCCATGTATCAGTGTGACTAATCTTGTATTATGGCCTAGTATTCCAGTTACTACTTGATGATGAGCATTTTCTGTGTTATTTAATAGTCATTTAAAATACCATTTTAAATGTATCCATAAGGTCCTTTGGGTGGAATATAACCTACTTAAGTACTCTCTTTGGCACATTAATAGCTCTTCTTTACAATGCTTTGATGGACATTTTTATACAGACATCTTTTTTAACATTTGGTATATCTTAAAAGTACAATTATTAAATCAGGAACACTAATTTTAAAAAGTCATCTTCATACGTTTTACCAAATGGCTTTCTGGAGGGAATGTAACAGTGGCTCCTCCCCCCGCAGCGGATGTGGGAGCTCACTCTGTTCCCTGTGCCGGGGCCAGCAGGGCACCGTGGCGGTAGAAGTGAAGCCTTGATGCTGCAGGGCGCTGAAAGAAAAGGCCGCTATTGCCATCTTGAGTTGCATTTCTTTAGTTATTACTAAATTTGAGCTTTTTACATGTTACCATTTGATTCTTTGTATAGCCTCTGTAAATTGAACATGTTCTTCACTCATTTTTCTCTTGCAACATCAGATTCTTTTAACTTGGTAACATAAAAGATATTAACGCTTGCTGTACTTGTCACAGATTTTTTCCCCCAGCTTATTCTTTGACCTTTAGCTTGCTTTCTACATAGTAGAAATTTTTTTCATATAGTCAAATCAATTGCTTTTTCATTTGTGTTATGCCCTATTTCTTTTACCACTGACTTCCTGGGGCATCTTCATTAGCTGAGCATGTATGTGTGCTTGCTGTCATGCGGGCCTGCAGAGAGCAGACGTCATCATTCTGGGAGGGTAACTCCCGAGGATTGAATCGGTAGGATGTCAGTCTACATTCAAACCTGCCTTTCCACTTAAAACTAGCTTGTATCTCCCCACCAAAAGTCAAAGTCTTTAAAAGGCCAGTCTCTTGTGACTGTAAGATAGCAGTTGGAAATGTAATGTAAATCCTTCCTAAGTGAAATGGCAGAGACTTACCTCTGCCGTGACAGCGTGAAGCCCCATGAAACTGCTCCCCAGAGAACTAGTGAAAATTCTTTTTTTAACAACAGCCTTTTAAAACCTCTGGAAGTGATCCTAAGGGCATATAGCAAATGAAGAAATATCTATTCAAAAATATCTGTAAAAATTCAGTAAGAAAAGTGAGAATCTGTGATATTTGAGCCAAGACCGCTCCCTCCTTCCCCACTGCCAGCTTATTTTAGGCCAGTGCAGCCAGCAACAAAGGGCTCCCTGGCCCTCAGCTCCCAGTACCGGGACCTTCTGGGAGGAACAGGATGTCAGCGTGTTTCGTCCAGCCCCTCTGCTCTTGCTGAGGCTGAGTTCCAGGCACCTGCGGGCTCCCTCCTTGTGAAGTGTAGGTTATGCCTTCGTGCGGCCCAGCTGAGCACCCCTGCTCCGGCTTGGGCAATTAGTGGTTTCATGCCAGACAAGGCCAGCCACGGAGACCTCAGGCTGCTGCCCGCCCCCAGGCCTCCCACCAGCATAAGTAGGAAGAATTGACATAGTTCTGTTCAACTTTCCCATTTGGAAATTTGGAATGTCTTTCAATTCTTTCAGGACTTCAGATTTTCCATAAAAGTTAAAAAATTTTTTCTTACAGATTTAGGTATCTCTAGGTCTTCCTTTCTTGCTATTTGTGAATGTATTTTTTTCTCCTTTTTATAAATTACTTAGTAGCTGGTATATAGGAAAGCCATTGATGCTCATTTTTATCTGACCATCTTATTGAACTCTCAATTGAAATAATTTTCAAGTGTTTTTTTTTTGGTTTTCTAGGTAATCCTTGTCAATAATTCTACTCATATTTCAGATGATGATGCCCTACACTATTAGCTGAATCTTCACAGCAAGGAAAGACAATTGTCTTAAAGAAGTGAAATAATGAACGTTTCTCTCTTTCGTATATGCATAGGTTGGATTCTAGTGACATTTATAATGAATTGAAAGAAACGTATTCTGATTACCTTCCTCTGTATGTTGCACGACTTCATCAGTTGGATGCTGAAAAGGTTGGGCAAGTTCATTTTTCATAAGAGTATTTTATTTTTAATAATAGATAAGGTTTATATTTTGAATAAAGGTTGTAGCCTTATATTTGTCTTCTGCTCTAGCTGACTAAAAACATTCGCTCAGATAAAATGTTCTCTTAAGTGATTTTCATTAAGCTAAGTACAGGACAAGATGAGGCCATTACCCTGAGTTTAGGATTCTTGCTCACATTTTTTATCACTGGGAGGAATAGTAGATAGGATACCCTAAATAAGGATTGCTTTTCTGACTTTAACCTAAAGAGCAAAGTACACATAAAAAACCCTAAAGAATCCACTCCAAAACTACTAGATTTAATACCTGAATTCAGCAAAATTGCAGGATACAAAATTAATACACAGAAATCTGTTGCATTCCTATACACTAATAATGAACTAGCAGAAAAAGAAATCAGGAAAACAATTCCATTCACAATTGCATCAAAAAGAATAAAATACCTAGGAATAAACTTAACCACAGAAGTGAAAAACCTATACCCTGAAACTACAAGACACTCCTAAGAGAAATTAAAGAGGATACTAATAAATGGAAATACATTCCATGCTCTTGGGTAGGAGGAATTTATATTGTTAAAATGGCCATCCTGCCCAAAGCAATCTACAGATTCAATGCAATCCCTATCAAACTACCAACAGCATTCTTCAATGAACTGGAACAGATAGTTCAAAAATTCATATGGAAACACAAAAGACCCCGAATAGCCAAAGCAATCCTGAGAAGGAAGAATAAAGTGGGGGGAATCTTGCTTCCCAACTTCAAGCTCTACTACAAAGCCACAGTAATCAAGACAATTTGGTACTGGCACAAGAACAGACCCATAGACCAATGGGACAGACTGGATACCCCTAATATAAACCTAACCATATATGGTCAATTAATATATGATAAAGGAGCCATGGATATACAATGGGGAAATGACAGCCTCTTCAACAGCTGGTGTTGGGAAAACTGGACAGCTACATGTAAGAGAATGAAACTGGATTACTGTCTAACTCCATACACAAAAGTAAACTAGAAATGGATCAAAGACCTGAGTGTAAGTCATGAAACCATAAAACTCTAAGAAGAAAATATAGGCAAAACTCTCTTGACTATAAACATGAGCAACTTCTTCATGAACATATCTCCATGGGCAAGGGAAACAAAAGCAAAAATGAACATGTGGGACTATATCAAACTAAAAAGCTTCTGTACAGCAAAGCACACCATCAGAACAAAAAGGCATCCTACAGAATGGGAGAATATATTCATAAATGACATATCCGATAAGGGGTTGACATTCAAAATGTACAAAGAGCTCACGCACCTCAACAATCAAAAAGGAAATAAACCAATAAAAAAATGGCAGAGGAGCTGAACAGACACTTCTCCAAAGAAAAAATTCAGATGGCCAAGAGGCACATGAAAAGATGCCCCCACATCGCTAATCATCAGAGAAATGCAAATTAAAACCACAGTGAGATATCACCTCACACCAGTTAGGTTGGCCACCATCCAAAAGACAAACAACAAATGTTGATGAGGATGTGGGGAAAGAGGAACTACTACACTGCTGGTGGGAATGTAAATTAGTTCAACCTTTGTGGAAAGCAGTATGGAGATTCCTCAAAAAACTAAAAATAGAAATACCATTTGACCCAGGAATTCAACTCCTAGAAATTTACCCCAAGAATGTAGGATCCCAGTTTGAAAAATACATATGCACCCCTATGTTTATCGCAGTGCTATTTACAATAGCCAAGAAATGGAAGCAACCTAAGTGTCCATCAGATGAATGGATAAAGAAGATGTGGTACATATACACAATGGAATATTATTCAGCCATCAGAAGAAAACAAATCCTACCATTTGCAACAACATGGATGGAGCTAGAGGGTATTATGCTCAGTGAAATAAGCCAGGCAGAGAAAGACAAGTATCAAATGATTTCACTCATCTGTGGAGTATAAGAACAAAGCAAAAACTGAAGGAGCAAAACAGCAGCAGAATCACAGAGCCCAAGAATGGACTCACAGTTACTAAAGGGAAAGGGACTGGGGAGGGTGGGTGGGAAGGAAGAGATAAGGGGAAAAGGGGACATTACGATTAGCACACATAATGTAGCAGGGGGCACAGGGAAGGCAATATAGCAGAGAAGACAAGTAGTGATTGTATAGCATCTTACTGTGCTGATGGACAGTGACTAAGGGGGGTATGTCATGGGGACTTGATAATGGAGGGAATCTAGTAACCACAATGTTCATGTAAGTATATATTAATGTTACCAAATATATATATATATGTGTGTGTGTGTGTGTGTGTGTGTATAAAGATGAATAAAGGAATAAACAAACAAACAAACAAAGGAATAAAGGAACATACAGAAGGCAGTGGTCCTGGCCTGCTGGAAACCTAACAGCTTCAGCAAAAGAAGAACTACTCTGCGTTGTTTTTGAGAATTGACCATGGTTCCAGGCTGTCTTAGCATGGAGCAACTCTCACTGATGATCATGGTAGTAGGAGAGTGCCAGCCATGACCAACTAAAGATTATCAAGGCTTTAGAGTGAACTAGAAGGTGTTCAAAGGAAACTGCTGAGACTAACAAGAGAGAAGCAAATTACTGAGAACTACATAAACACCATGGTGACCATAGCAAGACTGTTGGTTTTTGGCTTATTTACACTCACCTTCTGGTTTTTAATAATAAATAAGACTTGTACGTTATTTATCAGCTAGTACGTTTTCACTGCTGTTTTCATATTAATGCGGGACTGGATTGACACAGTCACATTTCTAAAATATTTTCCTAAGGTACCCCGAAAAGGAGCTGCCTTTGTAGATAGCACTTTACATTTTTATGAACTTTGTGTGTCTTGTTTGTTCTCACTGTTTTAACACCAAGGGGAAGGTAAATTAGGTCTTTTCCCATCTGAGCTCAGGTTTTCTAGAGACACAAACAGTGGTAAAGATCCCACTGGGAGATGGTACAGAGGCCCCCAGGGCGCACACAGACTCCAGAGTCCCCTCTAACTTGAGGTGTAGCACATCGTTGAAATGTCAGAGTGAAAATACTTTTCGTATACGCACTGACACATCCATTTTTTTCTTACTTCATCTTTTTTTTCCTCCCCAGGAACGAATGAAAAGACTTAATGAAATCGTTGAAGCTGCAAATGCTGTTATTTCTCATATAGATCAGACGTCCCTAGCAGTTTACATTGCAATGAAGACTGACCCCAGGCCTGATGCAACTACTATAAAAAAGTACCTACCCAGTAAATAATCTTTCTTGCATCTCATTTCTTACTTACTTTTTTAAATTATTGATAATATTCTTCTTTTCTGATATTTGGTATATCCTTATAATTGGAGTTACCAATATTTAAACACTCCATCCTCAGATACAATAATTATTTCCAGTAATGTAAGATTAAGCAAAAGAAAAGGAGTTTGCTTTCTCTTCCAGTAGGTGCTGTCATGGTGGGGAGATGTGAGTGTGTGTGATCAAGCAGTTCAGGCACCTGCAGCTTTGTGTGAACGAGACATACAGAGAAGGCAAACATATAACACCCTATAAAATTAATTTTTAAACTACGTATTAACCAGTAGCATGAAAAACCTCAAATTTAGTTTGTAATCCCTAGTAAAGAAAATCATAAGAAATAAAATTAGGTTAAAACCATTATCTAGTAACTTCAGTTTTATGGGACTGGCTTTACATATTACTTTTGGGAGAAGGGCCGGGAGGGGACAGTTTGTAGTTTAGTCTGAATAAACCTTAATGCCGTATGTACAACAGGCTTAGCTCCGCTGGTGAGTGAGCGGCGTGCTTCCTTCCAGGTGAGAGTGGTTTCCACCTGTTGCTGCTCTGGTCCAGCAACTCTCACCTGCGTCCTTCCGTGAACTCTTATGTCATCTCATAACTGTCCCGATACCAGTTTTTCCTCTCATTTCGGTTTGTTTTCAGCTGAGAGGGGCACTGACTTACAAGGGTGGAATATCTCCTTCTTTCAGAGTTGCTATAAGTGGTAAACCAAAACTGTTCAGGCTGCCTGAAGGTACTGTAATTTCCCTTAAAGACTTCATCTGCTTAGTGAGAATACTTTTTCTTCTATGAAATACTTGATTCTAAATTGGTAGAATTCTTGGCATTACATTGTTTATACTGATATGATATATCTTATGCATTTTATAAGCACTGGTTTTCAAGTGAACTAAAATTTATTCAAAATAGGATATTGGACACTGTCGGCCCCCTCTCACACTTTCCAAGGCATAATCTCAACTTGCCTTTATGTTGCTGTTGATAATAACAGTTCTGGAGAGTGTGGCCGCCATTTATGAGGTGCCAATTATGTACAAGGGGTTATTTTGTGGTATTTTAAATACATTTTAAGTATAATCTTCTAAATAACATGCAAATTAGGGGCATTTTTACCTCATATTTATAGATGAGGAAACTGAACTCAGTTTAAATGGCCCAAAGTGACAGTACTGGGGATGGAAAGCCAGCTTCAAACCAGACATATCCTGTGTCTGTGCCCTGACAGGTCTGGATAAGCAGCCCTTACATTCCTGCCCCCTTTTGAGAACATTAATTCACCTTGCCTGTCCCACTCTTCATTGCCCTCCCTCCTGGCAGAGGCAAGGAGACTCCTTTCTCTGAGGCTGGCCTATCTGAACAATGAATCCTCTGCCGCATGCCCCACCGTGCTGGCAGGCCCCTACCCCATCATCAGGCATCTTCCCCTCAGCCTACATCCCTGTTCAAACATCTGTCTCCTGTGCAGCCCATGGCTTGCACCAGGATCTGTCCCCACTGCACTGAATGCCAGTCAGTGACACTCCTGCTGCAGGAGTAGTCTGACTTTGATAAGCAGTAGGAACCTAAGTGCCAGAAACAGTGGCCCTTGGAAGCTACATTGGCCTTCCTGCAGCAACTGCCATTAGCTGCCCCTGTGCTTTCAGGCATCTGTTATTTATTACAGTTTGTGGAAATAATAGTTTTCAAATACAGGTGTGTGTAAAATAACATGTGGTGGCTCATCTTGAAATACCAGTAAATACCAAGGCCTATTTACCCCTGCTGTTATTTTGGCCTGTGTGTTCTGACTTTTACTGTCTACAGAGGAAACTCTTAGGTCCAGGTTAAAGTGAGCCACACGTACAGGATTAGTTGTGGTTTACAACCTTATTAATCCTTGTTTCCTTTTTTATCTAAGATGCTGACTACAGTGGCTATCAAAAATAACAATAAGATAGGGTTCTGGCTTTACATTATAGATGTAGAGACTTCCAAATACACTGACACAAAACTAGAGAGGAGCCATAAAACATTGTACAACTGCTGAGAGAAGATAGTTTAAGTTTTTGGCAACATGGGATCTTCACCCTCATGGTTAAGGTATTTGCCCCAGGCGCTTCCTTGGCCAACCCAAAATGGGCTCAAACAAGCTGTGCTGAGTAGAGGACCTTGTCCTGGCCCAAGATAACCTTGCCCTCAGGAAGAGATGCTCCCAGGAAATAGTTCTTGTTTCTTGTAGATATTTTCCATTGGCAGCAGCAGCTCAGCCCTGGTTTCTCATTTCTGTGCAAAACTGCTTTCATTTAGGTCACTTCTCTGTCAGGAAGCATAAGATAGCCATTTTGCAATCTTAAGTAGTAATTTTTGTAGGCAATCTAATACCAAGTTTTACTTAAATTTAAACTGCAATTAACTTACTTAAGTAATTAAAGTATCTGAAGTTGCTTCCTAAAGTGTATCTGTTACCTTGATTGGTACCTGACTAGATAGGGAAGTTTACTGAGCAAACTCTCTATGTAAAGCATCTCTGAGAAGGGATGTAAGAAATGAACAAGACACTCTGTACTCCTAGAAAATGTTCAGTCCAATGCAGAAGATGAAATTGCTGGAAAGGGTGTGACTGAGAGTCATAATAAATATCTTAAATTGTGAAACCTTATAAGATGGAAAGCTGACTTTCCTCTGAGTGGGGAAAGTCTTGTGGATTAATGCAGTACTTAATCTGAGCAGGTCAGTCCAAGTCAGAGGAGGGTAGGGAAGGATATTCCAGGTATGTGGAATTGAGGTTGTTGGGCCAGAGAATGCCATACCAGAAGGGGTCTTACAAGTGGTTTCATCTAGGCCTGGAAGTACAGCACACCTATGTCACCCCAGCCTGCTTTGTGAGTTCTGCATCCTTTCAGCCCTTCTTGGGCAGCTGGGACCAGTCAGTCGTGACTGCCATGGATGAGAGGTCTGCCTTGCCAACCCAGTTCTATTCCAAGGCCATCCTTCTCCACAAAATGGGAACAGTCATTGTGCCTGACCCCTAGGGCTGCTTACCAGGACGGTGCATATGGTGCCTGGCCACTATGGAGGGTCGGGGGTAGGGGCTTAATAAATGAGAAGCTATGTAAATGCCCCACAGCTTGTAAATCCTTTTGTTCTTAAGGCCAAAATAAGGAAACACTCTCCAGCACTCCTCCAGAAAAAGTGTGAAATTCGTTCTTTTAAGCTTTGAAATTCTGTGCTGATAAACTCTTTAGGCACCTTTTAGGCAGTATTTCCTCTACATTGCTGTGTGTATTAAGGTGGAAAACTTAGTTGTCAGGTTGTTTGGGTTTTTTAAATTTTCTTCTCATTTTAATTATCTTTTTGCTAATTATTGTTGACTTTATAGTCCCCGCAGATTTCATGTTGCGCATTTCACTCTGGGTCCTTCAGAGTCCTTACTGTTAGGCAGTTTGTTCATCCTTATCTGAGTGCCTCATAGTCATTTTCTCAGCACTTTTCATCCTCATTGTCTTCACACGTATCTGACATGAGTTGGACAAAATGCCTCAAGCAAGCATTTGGGAGACCACCACTGTCCCCTGGAGTGTGGGTTGTTGTCATTGCATTCAATGATGATTTACTGAGTGTCTGTTCTGTGCCAGGCATTGTTCTGGGCACGTGGAATTCAGCAGAAGAAAACAAAGATGCCTGTCCTGGAACGTAGTGATTAAGAGCAGGTATTCCAGAACCAGACTAAACAGCTTAGAATCCTGGATCTGCCCCTTCCTAGCGTAAGACCTTGAGTAAATCACTTAATCTCATTGTGCCTCAGTTTCCTCCTGCATAAAATGGGGGTCATTAATAGTGTCTTACTCATAGAATTGTTTTGAGTATAAATGAAATAATATGTTAAAACGCTAACGTTTGCTGGCACATTCAGAGTAAGCATTATATTTGTTTATACATGAAAGTTCATGACTGGAAGAGCCTCTGTATATCTGTACACAAAGACCAATATGTAATAATTCCTATTTATAAGAAATCTGAGCACTTAAAGGTATTGTCCTGATTTAAGAATTATTTAGCTGGCAGACTTTGGAATTGAGCAGTCTTTCAACTCTTGCTTATGGCATTCTGTTTCAACCAAGTGCAGCTATCCCAACTCATTTAATGTACGTGTAATAATAGTGGCTCATTTGATGTTTATTAACAGTAAGGAATCATGTTCAGTGTATAGTATAAATATATATATACATGGCTATACATTATTTCTGCATTTCAAAAAAGAATGCATGAGTTTACTTTCAGATAAGGCTATACTTTCAAAGAAATTTTACTGATCTGTGAAATGTTTTCTGATTTGGTGTACAGTGATATGGACAAACAAAAGTCTACCCTCGTGGACGCGCTTTGTAGGAAAGGGTGCGCCCTGGCTGACCATCTTCTTCACACAGAAGATGAGGATGGGGCCATTTCAAGTGACATAGGAGGCCGGGAGGAGGAAGGAGAAAGCTCCCTGGATTCTCTGACAGAAACTTTCTGGGAAACTACAAAATGGACGGATCTTTTTGACAATAAGGTAGTCTTTCTGCTTCTTGTTTTGGCACAGTTCTTGATGGTTACTTCCCAAATCTCTCTTATCCCCCATTGCCTGCTATTTGCTGTTTGCCGGTTGGCTGACCAAAAGGACTCAGTGGAATAAGGCGAGGACAGGATCTGAAGAAGACGTGTGTTTAACAAGACTTCAGCTGTAATTACCTATTTAAAAACCATTGTACCATTATGTTCTCTGTCTGCAGAGTAGCCGCTTAGCCATGCTAATTTGGAAAACAGTTTGAAAATGTATGGAGTAGTCTTTTGGTTAAACCAGTTATGTGTGAAGTTAAAATTAAGAATGCCTTCTAGAAATTGTCTTCTTGCATTCCCACATCTATTTCTGTGCTAATTGGTCAGGGATGGACATGGGAGTATTCTGGTCAGTTTAGACAGTATTTTTCTCAAAGCTCTTTTAACGTTTAAATAATTACCATCTTGATTTCTAGATAATCAGTTTCAAAACCCAGTTCAGAAAAAGTAACTTGGATGAAATTTTCAGATTTGGATTATAAAAATATTTTAAATCCCTTTTAGCTCTCTACTCTAATTTTTATAGTAGAGATTATTGAACTGCAAGTTTATGTCAGTCCCCCTTTCTCAAAATAGGGCTCAGAATCAGTGGAATTCTTCTTACCCAGCACAAACCATTGTTTCTTTACTAGTATACAGAGGCTTGTTTTCTATACTAAGGATGGTCATGTATAGTAGAGACCTGAAAGCAGGTTCCCCTTTAAGTACAGGAACGCATATCCAGCCAAGGTGTGCCTTTATACTCAGGAGACCAAAGAAGTCGGAATTGCACCAGTGGTTAATTTGGATCTGAACTCAGACCCCAGGAGTTTGAATCTTGCCCCTGCCACATTTATCTGTGTGACCTCTGGCCAGTTAGTGAATTCTGATGCCTTGGCTTCTTATCTGTTGAATAAGGGAGGTAACACCACCAGCTCACAGGCTTTTATGAATGAAATTAAGTACATGGAAGGGCCTGGAGTAACACAATAATGATCACATGTCCACTATGGCCAAACACTGCTTGCTGCTGGAAAAAGATAGTAAGAACCTGGTCCAAGAGCAAGTCAGTGAACATTTGAACACCGCTTTTATAAAGTATTCTGTTTTTGCCATAGCACTACTGTGTTAGGGGCTGTGTATGATATTGCCCATCTGTTTACTATGCTCAGAGCAACAATTATTGAACACTTCTTGGCTTGAAAATACAAATAAATGTGATAGGATTCCTTTCTTTGAAGACATTCTCCACATTGTAAAAGTGGAGACCAAAAATATAAATAAATCATTATGAATGTATTTGACAGATGCAATAATTAAAGGTACAAAACCTTGTGCTAAAGAAAGTACCTGAGTGTAAGAACATGTTTATATAATCTGGTAATTTTTTTTTAACTTCTATCCTCCTATAGTTTTGGTAATTAATAATGACTGGAGCCTTATACTTCTATCCTAATTTGTATTTGTGTAATCATTTACTTTAGCTCTGTTTTCTTTTGCATAAAGCGTTGTTTGGTATGGATTCCAATAGCTAGTAATTTAGCATAATAATTTACTTCCTCGAAATAAATTATCTGTTCTGTGGTGTACCCAGCTCTTTGAGGACATTAATTGTTCTTTTAAGAAGTTTTAAGTTTGCTGATGTAACATGTTCATTTTAACAACTATACTTCTGTTAAAGCCTTAATCATTTCATTATAAAGCTATCTGCTTTAAAGTGTAAATATTTCATTGATAAGCTTTATCTTGTTTTATATTATAGGTTTTAACATTTGCATACAAGCATGCATTAGTAAACAAAATGTATGGGAGAGGCCTTAAATTTGCAACTAAACTTGTGGAAGAAAAACCAACAAAAGAAAACTGGAAAAATTGTATTCAAGTAAGTGGTACTTAAATTGTCACTGTTAAGTGTCACTTCATTATTTCATAGTGACAAGATAGCTAAAAAAGCCTTAATCATAGTGATATATCAATACTGACTTTACCATGACCAATTATTACTCTAATTAACATAATATAGATGAGAGACGGTCAATAAACTATTCAAATTTTTATAACTTTTTATTAATTAAAAAAAATGGTTTTTAACACCCCTGTCTAGAAAACCTGTATTTAGCCTGAAATGTTTTCAGTATAGGCAAAATGCATTAGGAATTTTTATACAGTTAGAAGACATAGTTTTCCTTTATGAAAGAAACAAATAATTGCTTTCAGATATATGCTAGCTTAATTCTAAAATGGTTGAACTTTTAGAGTTTACATTTGATTTATTCTTCACTTGAGTGAATAGGCCATTTTGTTATTTTCCCATATATCATTCAGAGAAATTATATAGTTGGGTTTTCTGTACAAGTGAATTATCAAGTGTAAAAACTTATTGAATTCCACAGAAACCAGCCTCACCTGTCTTTGTGCACAGATAATTGGTTTATGCCTAATGGATGTGTGGAATTGGGGAATATTGGTCATGCCAGATGAGGCCTGGAGTCTGATCTCTAGATGTAAAGCTGAGCAGTAGGTTCCTGTAGACATTTTTGACAGTTAGAGTAAACTATTGGTTATCTTTACTCTCAGAGCTTTCTGTGTACCTTCACCAGTTAGTCCAAATGGTATTGACATTTCAAATTAGCTTCCTCTGTTCTTTGGGTAGGTTAAGAGAACTCTTTCTGGAAAGGATTGTTACTGTGTGTAGTATGTAGCTCCTCAGGCTATAATCTGTGAGCTTTTTTATTGGTGAAGGCAGAAATCCACCCAGATCTTCCCACCAGGGTATGTTTTAACGTGTCACCTCTCCACTCCACTCCCGCACTGTCCATCCTGCACACAGCGGCTGGGAAAGATGGCTTCACCTACTAGTGATGTTCCCCGGCATTTAGAGTGAAATCCAGCTCCTCGCTGTGGCCCCGAGTGACTTGCCTCCTGCCTGCCTCTCCCGCCCGCTCTCACATCACCCATCCTCTTGTTCACTCTGCTCTGCCACACCAGCCTCCTCTCTGCTTAGCTAGAACAGCCATGCCCCTTCCCACCAGGGGACCTGACGACTCCAGCTAATGGGGAGCTCTTCCCCGGGTTTGCCAAGGAGTTTGCCACCTGTCATTGGAATGCCAGCTGCAGGGTCACCTCCTCAGCAATCCCCTTTCTTGAGTGTCTCACTTCTCAGTCACTGTGTCATACCCAGTTTAATTTTTTTTTTCATACCTGGTATATCTCTTAATTATTTCCTTGGTGATTTACTATTTGGTGTGTAGAACATAAGTTTCCTGAAAGTGGGAAGGGAGTTGGCCGAGTGCTGTTTTCCCAATGCCTAGAACATTGCTTGACTCAGGCAGAGTAGGCACTCAGGACAAACGGACGGAGGGAAACCAGGTGCGTAGGAATGAAGGGAGCAAATAAGTCAGAAGGAAGAAAGGGAGACAGGTCTGTAGGAAGGAGGGTTGGCAGGGATGACAAAGACCACCAGGACAGGTTCGTTGGTATGAAAGCTGGTTGATCATCTGGTAGTAAGGGAGGTCACTGAGTAGGAAGGAAGGTTGGTGGGTGGGTTAGATGGAAGGAAAGTTCTTCAGGCTACTACTTTATTATTACTAAATATTTAATATAGAATTCACCCTTAATATTGAGCTTAAAAAGTCCATTCTTTAATGATAAATTTTTGTCTTTTCTTTTAGCTGATGAAGTTACTTGGGTGGACACATTGTGCATCTTTTACTGAAAACTGGCTCCCCATCATGTATCCTCCTGATTATTGTGTATTCTAAAATAGGAACCGAGACTTTAAATTTTAAAAAAGTTTTATAGTGAATGAATATGAACAAATTTGTGGAATTTTTAGTCTAATGCATGTTTTCATTTGCTATCAAATACTGATAATTAAAATGATGTGTATTTATCAGAGAATTCACTGGCATGTGGCTTAATACATGTAAATCTAGACCTCTGACATCATGGTGTTTTCTTACTGCCTCACATTGCTGGCAGCAGGCTATGGATGCCCTGCCTGCCAGCACCAAGGACTTCAGTTGGGTTGCAGCTGTTACTTGCATGATAGGTTTTGAACAATAACTTTTAACTGCAAACCTGTAAAATTCTATTTTTTATTTTATAAATGAACAGAGTTTTAACATGCTCAACTTTAATTTTTTCAATTGTGTGAAGGCCTTAAAAAAGCTACATTAAGCGTAGCTAAATTATTTATTGGAATAAAAAGTAACAGAACTTCATTTCCAGATTTTTTTTTTGACAAACATTTACGTTCAGTTAAGGGGATAAAAATAAAATAAAACTGGCACAAATAAATGTGTGGCAATTGCTGGAGCATAACTGCTTCAGAAAATCTTCATCTTGGAGTTATTTCAGGCCAATCACTTTTTAACATCCTTTGACATGCAGAGGCTCAGAATGAACCAATAGCACATGTATAAGTGCCAGACAGCTGACTCTTTATCAGGTATTGTAAAGATACACATATGTGTGTTTATGAAAGTTGAAATAATGTAAACACATGAATATGTGCAAAACCAAGGTCATAGCATATCATATGCAGTCTGATATCTTAAACTTTTTTATAAATAAAAGTGAATATTGAAGCTTCTTAAACTTGGTCTTAATTTTTCATAAATAAAATTTGGCAATAAAACAGAAATAATACATTTAGTCCATAGACCAAAAACTCATCATGAGGTAATTCATAGTGTTTCTTATGAGCTTGCAATTATTCATATGTTTCCGATTCTTACATGACTAACTTTTGTGTATGTTTAACTTTTTATTATTACTATCTTTTTGGCCACCATACTTGGTTCTCTCATCCTTTCTCCATAAAATGAACAGACACACATAGATAATATTAAAAAGCCTCCACTCACAACAAATGTGTTTGTGTGTGTGTGTAGTTTTTACATTTTGTTCCGTTGGAATTTATTTAAATGACCTCCCAGTAATCTTGTTTAGGCGTTCATAACTTTCTTTGGGTAATTGACCCCTTTATCTGATAAAAACATTACAACCTTTATGGAAAAATACAAATATGCATGCAAACATTTGCCTCAATTCTGAGCCATCTGGAGCCGAAGTCCATCCTGAAAAAGCCATATGCATGTTCTCACACACACACGAACTTTTACCTATGTATACACAGGTCTCTCTATATACAGGTTCAGTCCAGTAAGACTGAGAAGCTCAGAAGGGGCAGGGGGACCTCCTAAGGTCGTGCTGCTGACTGACTGGCTGATGGAGCCCATCTTATAACCTAGGTTTTGCCATTCCTACTAAGTACTACCTGCTTGCACCGAGCCGAGAATTTTTGCCAGTTGCCTCATTGCTCATTGACGGAGAAGAGGATTTTTGGAGGTGCTTTTTCACTGACAAAATCATCCACCATTTTCACTGACACACTTTAAGCACATGAATTTAGTATTTGATTTCAATGTAAATGTAATTTTAAGGTTAGAAACTTCCTGATAATACATGTGTTTAGAAATGCTACCTTCTGAGTAATGTCAAGATACAACAAATTCTAGGATCCTTCAAATACAATGTTTTTACATAAAGTCACTATCAGAGCTCCCTGAATTTCTCGCTTTATTCCTCAGATTTTGGTCTTCTCTCCTCTTTCTCAGAAGGAGAAATTAAGCCCATGGTGGGTTATGGGTATACTCTTCAAGAAAGCTAAGGAGCTCCAGGCCCCGCTGGCAGGCCGGGTTCTCAGCAGCCAGAGGGCGGGTGCGGCCAGTGGGCACGCCTCTTGCTGCCGCTGAGGAGCAAACGTGAGGTGTGTGGGGGAGGGGTGAGTAGTGGAGCGTCATAACAAGGTTCGCTACAGCATGAAAGTTTGCAAGTGTTTTTTAAAGGCTCTGGCTCTGTTGTAAGCAGAACTGCATCTGTAATTACTACTTCCCTCTTCCATGGGGCTAATGTCCTCAGGTGATCCAAGCTTGGAATGCAGATTAGTAAATCTGCTATGGAAATAAGAGGTAACACCATAGACTGGCAGACCTTCTTTGAACTGTGATCCCTGGGAAGAGCGGGACTCGCAGCCACTGAGGCCAGACAGGGACAGCCCTTCAGAGCTGCCGTGTCAGCCTCCGCTCTCCATCCCGATCCCACTGTGCCTCCTGGGTGACCGCTGGACCCACGTGAGCTCTGGAAGAAGGTGTCCTCAGTAAAAGCATTGCTGTTCCTGTATGATTAGATTCATACAGGGAGTAAAATGGTACTTTAAAAAGCTCAGGGCTGTTTGATTTCCTGGTAATGGTGGCCAGTGTTTGCACTCAGGGAACAGCTGAAAGAGCTAGATGAGGACTTTTTTAAAGAAGCCCCGGGGATGGCACAGAGGGTGTGCTCAGTACTAGTCCTAAGGCCCCATTCCAGAGATGAGAGAGGCAGCTCCCAGCTGTCACTGGGAGGGGTTTTGCCATTGTGGCATTTCTCACTCCTGTCCCTTGGTTTCTGCTCCCCAGGAGGACATCTGCTCTTTGTCCTGGAAAAGTGCAGCCTGGTCTCCTTAAGCTGCAGGAGCTGCAAACCTCTCTGCCCTCTGATCCTGGCTCAGACCCTGACAAGCCATGCCACTTGTCCCCTTGGGCCTCATCTAGAAAATTTAAGTAGTGTATTCAGTGTGTGGCTGTTGCAGCTCGAAATCATCTAGTTTGGGTTAAGGGAGTCTTTCCCTCTGCAGCGACTCAGTCTCTTACTCTCAGTGGCCCAGCATTAAAATACATGCTTTTGTCTTTCCCCGTAGGATCCACATCAGAGAAGTCTGGAAAGGAGGGGTCCTCTCATTCCCCTACTCTGCCGAAAAACTTTTAAATAGAGAATTTTTAAGGGATAAACAACTTAAGAAATAAGCTCTGAAAGTTTGTTGGTCTTGACATAGTGAACATGAGAGAATTACACTAGTAATAATAGTAATAATTGAACGAGAAAACAGAAGAAGGTGTAAATCCTGCTCTACCAAGGGCTCGGGCCGAGCATGTAAACACATTGACCACCAAATACCTTATAGACTCAGATTCTAATAGGCAGCATCAATCAAAGAAAACAGGCAACTAAATCTTTGGGATTATGTCTAGGATGCTCATTTGGCCTTTAAATGTATGGACAGTTATATGAATAGTTTTATAGCTTGCTTTAAAGTTTAAGAAATACCAGTGTGTGTGTGGGTATGTATTAAATGCCAATGTGTGCTAGTATTAGCAAATGCTAATTACTGTCTAAATTGTTAGATATTTAAATACTTTTTGATTTCTTGTAAAGCAAATCTTCCCACCAGGTTCTTCAAGAGTGCCTTGATTCGTAGATTTCTCATTTTTATAAAATTTTAGAATCAGCTTGACAAGTTCCACAAAAAAAATTACATGTGGCTGCACAATCTGTTGATCAATTTGGGGGAAACTGACATCTTTAAAATGTCTTTCAATGCACAAACTTGGGATGTCTCTCCACTTAGGTTATCTCTAGTTTGTCTCAATATTGCTATAAATTTGTGTACAATTCTTGCATATCTTGTTAGATTTATTCTGAGGTATTTAATATTGTTATTGCGAGATCTTTATTTAACTTTCATTTTCCAACTATTTGTGATCAGAATTTATAAATACCATTGAGCTTTATGTATTGGCATTTCACAACCTTGCTAAACTCGTAAACTCCAGTAATTCAACTGGGGATTATCTATAGTTCCAAGGGTCAAATCCAACCCACAGCCTGGTTTTTTACAGGGTCCATGAGCTAAGAATGGTTCTTACATTTTTATAAATAATTATAATATATACAGATATACACATATGTCTACGTATACATATGCATATATGTAGAAAAAGTATGTGTCTGTAAAACCTATAATATTTATTATCTGGCCCTTCACAGAAAGTTTGCAGACTCTGGCTTACATAAACAATCATATCACCCTTGAATAGTGTCATTTTTATTTCATGCATTCTAAATTTTAATTTTTCCCTATCACAAAGGAAAGCTTTTAATATTTTATAATTGTGACTTTTTTTTTTAGATTTTTGTAGACTTTAATCAGAACAAAAATTCCATTCTTTCCTACTTTTCTGAAAATTTTAATCAGAAAGAACAATCCAGAAATCTAACTGGAAATGGTTCTCAGCAATTGACAGAGGTGAGTACTTGTTAAGTAAATTCTCTTATGAATTTAATAAGACAATATCCATTTCCTTGTCCAGTACTGCTTCCATACTATTCTCTATAATCCATGTTCAGCCTATAGCTGCTTTTCTGTCACTCAATATCCTCTCCCATTGCTATAATTAAAGTTGTATTAAGGAGATTCTTCAAATTAAGATATAAGGACCCTGTCAAGCTCAGTTTCAGAAAGTGAGAAAAGGATATTGACAGACTTAAAACAGAAATAACATGGGGGGAATCTACTTGTTTATTAATTTATTCATGTAAAATTTACTAAACATTTGAGACTTTTAGAAGCCAACAACGTTGCTTTTTATGTTTTCATGTTATTCTTCGAAGATACTTAGATCGACCTGATAATCTTAGATTATTTTAGAAAGCTGCTGTCATACTCATTCTAGGTATGCAAGTTGTTTTTATGTCTTTTCCTCAATTTTATAAAAAAGTCTTTTATTGGGGCAATTTGTAACACTGCTCAAAAGACACACTGATGTTCTGAAAGGCATTTTGTTGACTTTACTCCCATTTTAGTGTTCCTTTAAAAAGTTTGACTGATGACTCTGGAAATTCAGCCAAGAGTATTGTATCGAAAACTTGCTTGAACTTATCTAAAAATTCATAATCAGTGCTGAATCGGAACTTGTTTGCCCAAAGCAACACGGTCCCTGGCTGGCAAAGGTACAGCATAGTGCTGAGCAGCTTGTCCAGGAAGTAATGGTGATAGACCACGTCAGAAGCCAGGACATAGTCATAACAAAAGGTTGCCTTGGGGAAGTGTAGTTCCAGGCTCTCTCCCCATACCAGCTCTTTCACTTCAGGCCGATGTGCAGAACGTTTCAGTGTGTTCTTTAAAAGATTGTACTCAAGGTTTCCTAGGACATCAGGCAAATCCGTTGCTGTGACTTGAGCTCCTAAGAGAGAAAGAGACAAGTTGTAATAATTACCTGGAAACATTTGAGCAACCACAGTGGACATACATGAAACAGAAGTGCATGAAACAGAACTGGGCTCCTCAGCCTTGGCCCTACGACATAGGAACTGGACATATTTGGCGTGGTTCCGGCTGGGTAGTTCTTTCCAGTGGGGGTGCCCTGCTCTGTGCACTATGCCCTCCATCCACAGTAGCATCTCCCCCAACCCCCAGTCGTGATGATCAAAAATGTTTCCAGACATTGCCAGATGTCCTTTGCAGGGCAAAATCACCTTTGGTTGGGAACCACTGAAATTGCATAGTGTGGCCATCTTTTAAGGAACTCTGTAAGTTATACAGCAGAGCAGTGTAGGGAGATTTCAAGATAATTAGCTAAACAGAGTAAGATTCCTAGCATCTGCTTAATATAATAATCATAATGTTTTTCCTTCTAACATTGCACTTACCTGAAGATGTTTTTCTCTTATATGAAGTATTCATTCAGCACCCAGTTTTTGTTCTACAAAGGATGGTCTATTTCACATGACTCCCCAACCCACCTAAATTCATTAAATTCTTAGGCATTTTAAAGTAGGGGACAAGGGTTCACAGAAAGGGTCACCATATTGCCAAGTTGGTTTAAATAGAGGAACTCTAATAGTCTAGGCAGAGGCATGCCAGATTGGTACCTACATCTTGTCCAGGAATTTATAATCTGCATTTGTGGTATAAGTCTGTCTGTACCTTGGATTAACTCACTAGTTTCTTCAAATGTTAATTGTAATATTGGCAATGAAAATCAGGAGACAGCAAAGCACAGTTGTTCACAATAGGAATTCTAGAGTCAGACCTGCAGAATTTCAACTTCATCACATGGTAATGAATGGAGGATTGAGTAAGTAACCCCTCTAAAATGCTATCATCTTATTTCTGAGATAACCGTAGTGATAACATTGTGGGGGGTTCAGCGAGAGGTCATGGCCAAGTGCCTGAAGCTAAGCCTGTCGTGAAATAGCACTGGGGCCAGTGTCTCAGTGAAGGTCTTTTGAAACAAGGTCAGGAATAAGCAAACAAACCTAAAATACTGGCCACAATGGAAACAAGGCCTGGTCCAGCACCAATTTCAAGCACTTTGGCATCCTGGAGATTCAGTTCTTCTGTGTGTTCCTCCAAATACTGACACAGAGCTGTAGCCTAGAAAACACATGTAGTGTCACCTGGGTATTGGGACACGAAACCAGTAGCGACCCCTCCCCCACCCCCAGTGGAATTCTAAAAGGTGTGCTTATAATAGTTACAGGTTATTGAGGGGTTCCTAAGAATTAAAATATATGTGCAATCCCTATTCTCTGGAGATATAATATGCATCAAAGGAACTGGAGAAACAGACTTGTCAAATTGACTCAGGATCCGTGTCCAGAACTAGGAGGTGAGCAAGCCTAGGAGGAAGTGAGCCCAAAGAACAGCTACTCCCACTCCAGCTCAGTCAGGTCCCCCTGTGCCTGCCGCCTTTACCACTTACCTCCTGGCTCCTTATCAAAGTCCAGGTTGGCTAGAAGTGTCTGCTACACTGGACAGCGGGGCAGTATCTATCTTAAATAGGCACCTAAGAAACAGACTGTCAGGTGGTGCCACACAGGCTCGGGTGCACATGCAGCCCTCCCAGGCCTGGACTGGACAGGGTGCTTCCCAGGGCTGTGGGAGGCCCTTCCTAGGGCTCAGCACTGCGTTTCAAACAGGAGACAGTGCTGCCGGCTCTCCACAGCTGTGGCCACACTTTAAGTAGCAGCAAGGCATTAAAACATGTGAATAACTTATGACCACTTTTTAAATGGGAAAGCCGACATCCCTTTCTTCATTCCCTTCCACCTGTGCCTTCTGACATTTCTATGAAGAGATAAAGGGTATCTGCTGGGCACTGATTCACCGGGGGGTGTCAGCAAAGCCTTAGGGTCGGCAGGATGGGGGACAGCTATGCCTCAGGAAGTTGAGTTGGGATGTGAATCCTAGGATGGGAATGGCATGGAATTCCTCCAGTCTGCCGCTACTTTGAGCTTTATCTTCCTATGGCTACTCTGGACTGGCGGGGATATGCACTTTCTGTCTGGGGCCTAGGCTGGAGTGGGAGGTCAGGACTGCCTGGGACATGCCGCTCCCACAATGGCCAGTGGCAGGGGTAGCAGAAACTTCACCCTCCACTCCACCACAGGTCTCGCCCTTTCGTCCTCACATGCCGAGGAACAGCATGTGGTCCTCTCCTCCCCCTGGGGCTTAGGTGGTGGGGCAGGGGCAGGTAAGCCAATTCTGAACTGCAGGAGGGCGAAGAAAGGGTTCCCGGCAACGGTGTAGGGGAAAGGGCAGGGAGTTGAAGGGTGAGTGACCACAAAGAGGAGAGGGTCCTCCATGAGGGCTGGCAGGTGTGTGGCAGGCAGGGTGGGACAGCAGCAATGTGCGGCTCCTGTGGAGACGGGCAGTTTGGGGGAGAAGCAGCTGTGGTTCTGGAGGGGAAAGGATCATTATTTGCGAGGAGGGGTTTCAATATTAGGGTGTCTCTTAGAGCCATCCCCGGGACATGTGCTCCAAGGGGGGTTCTGAAGCGATGGCTGTGGGTTTCCTCAAGTGGCCCCCATGCCTTTCTTAGGAAGTGCTGTGCCCTTACCCACTCCCCTCCCTCTGCCATGTTAGCAAACTCTGAAAGCCACTCCCAGACGGCGCGCTCTCCAGAGGAAAAGCGTGTTTTCCCTCTTCTGCAGCTTTTCACAAAACTGAGGTCCCGAGAGGCCAGGGTTTGGTGCCTGAAAGGCTGGGGCCGTTATCAAACTGTCCAGTGGACAAATACCCGCTTTCCATTCCTGATCTCTGATACCCTCACTGTTCTTGTCGGTTCGCCAGATCTGGTAGGAAGCTGTGGAGTGGTTTGGTGGTTTTCAAACTGGCCAAAGAAAAGCCTTCGTTTGAAGGAATCTCACTTCCATGCAATAAGGGATAAAAACTGGGCTCGCTTTGCTGGCATGGGGGTGGGTGAGGGGTCCTAGGGGCCTGGAGCCGGTTGCCTGGGCCCCGTTGGCCACCCCCTTACCCCACCCCTGCCTTAGTGCCCAGCAGGCCGGGGCGCTCCACGGAACCTCTGACCAGCCTACGGCAGCAGGTCTACACCACCTGGGAGCTTGCAGGAAATGCACGGGCCCCAAAGCTCCCGAGTCAGAATCTACGTGTGAACCGAACCCCTATGACTCAGCCGCTAACCCCCCATCACCAGAGCCTCTGAGCTGAGAACCTCTGCAGCGACAAGAACAGCCAGCCGGCCCCCGAGGCACTGCCCAGACCCCAGTGGACGGCTCGGCCAGCGCAGGACCTCTGAGCGTAGCGGCCCCCCGCGGGAGGCGGACGTGCCAGCGCCTGGCAGTTACAGCGAACCGAGCCGCCCCTCGGCCTCCCAGCCAGCTCAGGGAGGCTCGCGCCGCCGCCCCGTCTCACGCAGGGAACGAAGGCCAATGGGGTGCAGAGCACCGGGGAACCCCGGAGAGCCGACACCCGGAAGAGGCAGGCTTCCTGACTCCACGTTCAGAGCTGCCCCTCCGGCTGCTGCCCACAAGCCTGGAGCCAAGGGGCTTCCTGCCCGAGACAGTAGCGGCGCCCCTGGCGCCCAGGCGCTCCTGCAGTCTACACTCCAAAGACCTCATTTTTTTTTTTTTTTAGTTCACATGAATTTTTCATCTTACTTCCCAATGTATCCAATTTTATTTTAGTGTAATAAATAATGCTGCAAGGAACAGAGCCCAGCGGAGGACCAGCGAAGGAGGAATCCCTGGGGGGTCAGGAGCCCAGGCCCCAGCCCACCCCCGGCCTCAGGTGGAAACGCCCCCTGGGAGGGCCTCGGCCATGCGGGTGCACCAGTGTCCCAGGGGCCCTGACTCCCAGCGGCCACCGCGCTCTCACCCCCGGCCACACCGTTGCTCCGTAACTCTCTATCGATTCCTGGAGGACGATCTTCTTGCCGGCAAACGCGTAGTGCTCCTGCGTGTAGCTGGCGTAGTTCGTAGGAACAAATTTCAGGAGGCTCTGAAGAGATTGCTCTATCTCGTTCGAATCTGCAGGGCAGAAGACAGAAGAGGTTCCATGATCTGCTGACGCAGTGCAAATATCCACCAGGGACAACTGGTAAGAGGGGAACCAGTCAAGCAAGCTTCCTGCAGAGGAGGGTTGGGGGAGAGGCCATAAATGACCACACTGCAAACTTAAACAGGCCTGAAATGGGTGACAGGACACGAATCCAGATGGGACGTTTTTTAATACGATGAAATGCCAAAGGTTGCTTAGTTTCCTCTATTTAGCAGAAGACAAGAGGGGGAAGATAGGGCACCCATCCAATGGCAAGGAAAAGCTGTCTGGATAGGGCCCTAAGCAGACAGGGACCCGGGCTATTTTTAGGCCTTGAAGTAAAGTAACATTCCCACATGCTGGCTGGAGCATGTTCCTTAAATGCCTCCTACAACTGCTCCTCAAAAAATTCCCGTCAACCGCAGAGGGGCCGACTCAGTGCGCCTATGGAGGCTGTCAGATGGGCTGCAGCTATGAAGTTTCTATTGCCTTAAATACATCTTCACACTCATGACCCAATCTCATGGCTCTCAAATATCATATAAAATGAGGGGGAAAGAGCCTGACTGGGGCTGGCATCACAGAAGCACAGATTACTGCAGGCTTTGCAGAGCGTCTAGGATAGACAGGGCCATGAGTACAGGCGTCAGAAACGAGGATGCTGAGCACAGAGAAGCTGCCTGAAAGCTGTCTTTTTACCTGACACATGCCAGGGACGTTTCAACCACAGGTGGAATAAGGGCTTTGGAAAATCGCCCAGAGTGATGAACTAACATTTGAGGTGCTCTGATCAGAAATTACACACTCAAAGTGGAAGCGGCGGCGGCAGGGGAGGAGGTCGTGAATGCAGGGTCAAGGATGGCAAGTCTTTGACGAAGCCTAGCCAGGTCTGCCCTCCGAGGCAGGTGTGACAGGCTACCTGAGGCGCTACTGATCTCCATGTGCATGGGGGGGGCGGGTCTACACTGCCGGGCTGCCCAGTGTAACAGCCCACGGCGGGCAGAGCACAGGCATTTGGAGTCCACTCTTAGGAATGTTTACCACAATTTGACCACATCTATTGAATTCAATTACAAAGACATTCAGGACTTGTTTAGTATGTGTTTGTATATATTTTTGTTTTGTTTTTCAAGAAATTCCTTTCTGTCCTATTTTACAAAAAAGTGTCAGTATGTGGCCAACTGGGAAATGGTCTTTGATGGCAGCACAAACGAGGTGGCAGGTTGTAAGCCAGCATAACGATGTGTGCAGCCTTCAAACTCCTTGGCTCCGTTCTGAGGTCGTGTGTCCTACAGAGAATCCTCTGCGTTGGCCAAGAAGGTGAGCTTCCACGATGCTGGGCTTCACGGAGCCTGTAAGGCCCTGCTAATAGGTCTAGCCAAGGCAGCCCTAAGCTGCGTCCATTCCTGCCTTGGGCCCTGGAAGGGGCTGGGGCTGAGAGGGGCATGGCGGGGGAGGAAAGGAGACCCGTGGCCCTCGCCTGCCTGTGAGCGTAAGAAGTACTGACATCCGAAAACACCAACCCAACATTCACGACGGACCAATAAGGCTCACTTGTGCCCTAGGCAGACAGGCTGACTGAATGCTGTCTCGGGGAGCACAGGAAGGCAGAGAGCAGACCATGGTGTGCCAGTAAGTGTTTAACAGTCAGTTTGGGGCGTGAGGAAGAAGCCGTGATCTGCAGGGTTGACAGTACCTTGGTGTGAATACTCCCGTGGTGGCGGTTCCGAGCTCCCAGCAGGCAGTCCCCGGGAAAGGATGCACAGCAACCTGCTGTTAGGGAGCATTTCCATATGGATACCCACAACCTCCAGGCCACAGATGATTGTAAAATGTAGCGAAATAAGTTATGATGAATTGTATTTATTACCTGAGTTTTCCAGTATACATTTGCCTTTCATATGATCTACTTAATTGTAAGTTTACATAACTTAAAGTCCAATAATGGCCATGTTTAATAACCAGCTCAAAAAATTCCTAAAATGCAGGAGCGGGCACAGGCCAGTCAGGTTAGGGCTGGAGTGCATCATCACCAGAGGAGGTGACCTGGAGCAGCCGGACCCTCAGGGACTCCTGCAGGCCCACCCTGGCCTAGACGGGCCCTCCTCCCCTCCCTCCTGCATGTCACCAGTCAGGGACTTAATTTCTTTTCAAAACTACAGGAAAAGTCAGTGGGCTGATTTTGAATGGCTCGTCATTTCACAGCTTAATAAGCTGATGGCTATGCTTTCCTGATCAACACTGTGAAGAAACAAGGGCATATAAATATTTCCCCTTAAGACCCTTTTATATGTTCTACAAAGAAAAAGAAATTTGTGCTTATTGCACATGAAATATTTCATGTATTGTACCGCACTAGACTGATAGGTTTAGAGAGATCAGATTTTAGAGATAGGCATTGCATTTTTATGTAAACAGTTAAGTAAAAATCCTAGTTTAATAGAGCTGGAACATAATTTCACCAAGTTAAATGACTGTAAATGTTTTAAATGCTATATCATGGCTTTTCTGACATCATTTTTTAAGCCTATTATTTATTTACTACTGAATCCTGTCCTAAAATTTAAGCGCTGTAGGATGCAGCTGCCAGGAATACGTTTTGGTGAAGAGTAGGAACTAATCTAGATTTCATTTCTTTTTAAAAGTTCTCGCCACAAAAATATAACAATCTTGGATTTATACACGAGGTAAAACCAACTTGTGGACTTTGATAAGTAAATAATGCCAAAATAGGAATTTCTTTTAATGCTCAACTTCTGCTTAAATAAAGGTATTTTCTATAAGCTTCATTATAGGAAAACCTAGAACTAAAAGGAAATGAAAATATTTGTCACTGAAGTTAACTGGAAAAATGCCATCCCAGGCAAACAACCAAGAAGGTGCTGGGGTGGGAAGAAGGAGGTTACCTCCTGGGGGTCCGCCGGTGCCATCTTTCTGGAGAGCCCCCTCCTCCGGCTCTAACAAGACATCTGGGGAGCTCAGTGCCTCCGCAGGGCACCCAGGCTGCTTGGAGCTCAGACACACGTCCATACCGGAGCGGCTGGAGCAGAGAGAAAGGGGCAGAACCCGTGGCTCAGCCCAGGCTGGCTGAGTCTCCTAGAGGCTCTAAAAGGTGTAGCTATCATCTTAGCATCTGCTGAGCCGAAAAGAACACCTGTTTTTCAGCTTAGTTCCCAGCTGAGCCCAGCTGCCCCCCAAGGAGCTGCCATCCTGGTTTTGCAGAGCAGGAGACCACTACACATTACTGCACCCGTTCTGGGCATGAAAAATCCCCAAACAGAGCAATTGTGGCCAAGGGACAGGCACTACATTCCTGGGGACTAACATGTCTTCTAATTGCTTTTGGAACTGAGTTAATCAAGAAAATCTGGTCCAACAATAAGAGCCATTGGGGGCACCTTGTGGATTGAGGGGTCAGTGGCATCATAGATGAGAAGCTAGGATTTGGACCTGACACAGGGCTGCTGCCTTTTCATCTGAGGCTTTAGTGCAAAATAGAAAGCACTGGGGCCAAGGGCCAGGCGCCTGATTTGGCTCTGCACTCTAGTGCTTGGCGACTCACTTAGTCCCCTCCATGCTGTTTCATCATCAGCAAAAAGGGGATGATAGTATCTGCTGAGAGCAAAAGTCAGAAGCCCAGCACAGGAAGCCTCACGGATGCAGAGCTGGAGGCCGGCTGCTGGGAACACTGATGGGCATCGAAGGAACAGCCCCTGACCTTGGCAAGTTGTTGTCAAGCTCCATTCCTGTGCTTTGAGTTTATTGATTCATCTAGTCCTCAAACAAAGCCTGTGAAGTAGAGGCTATTATTATGCCGCTTCTCGGAGGAGAGAAATGCCAGCACAGAGATGAAAAAGCAGCCCAAGAGCATGCAGCTGGCCAGTGGCAGAGCTGGGGGTCAAAGGCTGGAGGTCCAGCCGCAGAAGCCACATCTCAACCGCAGTTCCAGTTGCCTTGCACCAGCCTTGGGTCTCTTACCTGCTTTGCCCCAAAATTACTCATAAAGTTCAGCTGTCACAGTGACATTTTCTTGTCTTTTTTACAAAATATATATGGCTTTCCTCCTCTGCATTTACTGTCTTGAGTTTACTCTACACACTCGAGAGTTGACCCATCATATTGTTCCAGCCAGCTGGGGAGTGACTAGACTTGACTCTAGCCGTGTTTTACCACCTAGCTGGCCTGAACCCAACACGAACCCCAGCCGCTCAGACACTGGCTTGCTCCAGTGAGCAGACAGACAGCAGGGAGGAGCGCCAGCCCCTGAGGCAGCGGTCACCCCATCCCGCATCTGGACGGGTCATGCGTCCCTCACGTCAGTGTGCAACGGGACTTCAAACGAAGGAGATGGCTGTAAGAGAAACTTCACAATTTCACTGGCTCTAGAATCAAGTGAAATTTCCTCCCGCTCGTATGGCTCACCCAGCCAGCCAAGAGCACCCAGCGGGTCTGTGCTTCCCCAGAGCTTTTCCTCTCAGATCCTTCCCTGCGCCTGCCTTTCAACTTTCCCAACTCCAGGAATTAATTTGCTCCCAGTCGCAGACTGGCTGTGTGAGAGCGCCGAGCGTCTTCAGCAAGGCGGCCTCAGTGCCCGGGGCAGAGCCTGCACGGAACCTCGGCCCTGCCATGTGCAATCCCTATGGAAAATGTAGATCACGGTGGCCCCTGGAATTAAGTGATCTGTGCTTGCTGGAATTAAGAGAGCTGAGCCAGCAGAGCCTCTCACACACAGTATTGCCTGTTCCTCTCGTCTCCGAGGCTGGAGACCGATCATGGACGCAGCCCTCTCTAAGGACGCCCATGCAGTGCCATGGCGCTCTGCACTGAATCCAAGACATTTCTTCATTTTGTATGCAAGCAAAGGAGAATTGTTTTCAAATGCCAGGTGGTACTTTATGAAATGAAGCGCTCATGAAATGAAATGACTCCCTCTCCCATCATTACAACTGACTTGAGAAATTATTGACAAGCAACATGGAAAATAACTATAGTAATCTACCTACTGTTTGTTATTAGTTGGACATATCATATGCTACATATCATATGTTAGTATTCAATCAAGAATTGGGAAGTCCTAAAAATGACTCCTTGTTAGTTCCTACAAAATAATTCCAAACTGTTAGTTCAAGCATATATTTACCTTAGGTAGCAGATGAGATTTGAAGTTTCTGTGTACCCTTAATCCCTAATGTTTTATATAGATCTGCACCTGAAAGGATTAACATTTTGTGAACAAAGCCAGCCAGTGGGAGCCCAAGTTATTTAGGGTAGCATGACCCACCGGTACTCAGACACATTACTTTGCTAGAATTCTCTCTCTCCCTCCGTGTCTCTCTTTCTCTCTCTCACAAGTTCTCTTTCTCTCTCTCTTACACACACACACACACACACACACACACACACAATCTTTGCAACTTGAAATGAAATCACCCTAGAAAGATTCAAAAAAAAACACTGCAGCAGAACAGAGGCTGTCCTCTCTGGTAGTCAGTTGCTGTGATGTAGTTTGACTCTGGGCTCAGTAGCCAGACTGTAGCTGAAGGAAGCAGGGTGCCTGCCTTGGACTCTGCCTGACCCTGATTCTAGCAGCCAGAAATAACATAAGACTCTTCCAAGAGGAAGATAAGAGAATAATTCTCCACAAAAAAGGGCATGAGTCAAAAAAGGCTTACTGAGGCATAAGGGATATTTAGTTGGGTCACCAGTGAGTAGGAAATCAGCAAAACTGATCTATGAAAAAGCCAGCCATTGTATTTTATGTAACTGAAATAAGGGGCCATTAAAAAGGAAGGAGGAAAATCGTGTGCTCATTTGGAAAGGCTGGAAACTCTTAAAATAGAATATAGGGCATGTAAATTAAAGCCATAGGTAAATGGGAATCAAATAACCATTTGGATTTATGAAGGCCACGTTTAACCAGTGAGCTGAACGAACGGTGGTACTGCTTGGGCGGGCGTGACAGCCTATTTTTATTTTTCACTCATCGTTGGCACTCTCTTCTCTGCTGTCACTTTTTTTTTAATATCCGTTTCTTTTAGTTTAGGATCTTCATCTAGATGAGCTGTGGTCCTACGACTGTTAGGTCTTCTCTCCCAGTACATTGAATGAGAGAGGTGGCCTGGAGTCCTTCCCAAATCCATCATACTACTGCCAAGTGGCCCAGTTCTACAACCATGTCCCAAAATTCTCAGCCTATTTCTACAGGTGTCACCACCCCTATAAGCAGCAGCAAAAAGATGGTCATCATGACAATTTTATAAGTAACTTTAAAAACTGATTGCAGTGTGTATGAATATATATACATATACATATTTACATACACATTCACTCTATAAGCATTAAAATAAAAAAAGGACAAAGAAGGAAAAATTTAAATCTTCTTTAATCCCACCAAATAGGCCTAACATTTTTTGGCATCAACTTCTAGGCTTTTTTGTTATAAACTTTATAAAAGCTCTTTACTGAAAAAGAAATTGGACAGAAGCATGTACTTCTTTGACTTTATATAGAATATCCTAGTATTTTTAAGAGTTTCTTTTTAATATTTTCTTCCAAAACCATCTTTGAGATAGCTGCTTTAAGAAACAAACCAGATCTCTACTTCTGGAGCTAGAAAAAGTCAGGTCCGAGGCTCCTAAATACTGGACTGTTCCTAAATACTGGCAATGGCAGAGTTACCTGGAAGCTTTAAAATCTATTGACTCTAGACTCCTAGAAATTCCTGTTCAAAGGTCTGAGGAAGAGCCCAGCCCCACAGCCACCCCTGTGTGTGCAGCACCTGGCATGTAGCTGGAGCCAATCTATAGGTCAGGGGACGCGGGAGTCACTGTCACATGGAGTGCCCTCCCGGGATGGGGGATTGGGCCTCCCACGTGGCCCTGTGGGCGGGCTGGTGGGGTAAGTTCCCGGCAAGCACATTCGGTCTCAGTAGGAAGAACTTTCTGAGAAGCAGAGCAATGGAACAATTGATCTCAGGGAGCCTCGCGTAGTGGAAAGTGGGCCTGATGGGGAGCCAGTCAATACAAGCGTGGATCAAAGGCTCATACAGGGTAAACGAGGAGGCTGTGTGTGCTGTCACTCTGCCTTTCCCCAGCAGTGGGGACCTCGGCTTTCTCCCTGGGCTTTTTTCCATCTGAGCCTAGCTCTCAGCCAGGGGTCCTCAACAAGGAGGAATCCCTTCCCCCCTAGGCACATGTGGCAGTTGGAGTCTCTTTTGCTCATCGTAACTGGGGTGGGATGCTATTGGCCTCTAGTGTACAGAGGTCAGGGTGCTGCCTGGCACGGGACTGCTCCTCACAGCAAAGACCCAGCTGGCCCAAAAAAGCAAGGCAGAAACCCTGGTCCAGGCAGTGGATCAGACTTGTCCTGTGGGGCAGAAACCAATTGCTGTGCTCCGTATACCGCCGACCAGCAGGGTGATCCCTGCCTCCTCCGTCTCAGTGTCCTCGGCTATAAAATGGGGTGAGTTCGCATTTACAGTGTCTGATACTTGCCAGATTCCGAGCTGTATCTCCACATAGATCCAACATCGCAGCCTCTGGCTTTGTCTGGTTTCTCCTAGGAGCAGACCCCGAGGCGAGGATTTGAGAGAAAGTAATTTATTTGGGAAGTGAGGAAGGGGAATAATCCAGGGAGAGGACGGAAGCCAGCAATGGGTGTTCTATGCAGCCAGCTACTCCAGGGACGGGCTTGGAAATGCAGCAAAATGCCCACCTCAGAATTATTCCACTCTGGGGTCAGAGGGCTTCTGGGCGTTCTCTGCACCACCCGCTCAGCACAGATGCAGACTAGCAGCCGAGGCACCCGCCGTCTGCGGGCCGTGAGTGTGGCTGCAACAGCGTCTACTCTGGCCCTGTGAGCTCTTCCTACTCCTGCACACAACTGGCGGGGCTGAAACTTTACAGGTCAGACCTGATTTGTCATGGTGTCTGGTGTCTACGAATTCAACAACAAATAAATGTCTTATATTAAATTGGTTGCCCTTCAAGTAGAGGATTGCATCAGCACGGCTCCTTGGAAGGACTCTGGGTCACTCACTGAATCAAGTGGAGACACTGAGCATTGGGGCTTGAGAAATAAAAGGACACAAGGGTGCTCTGGCTGCAGCAGCGATGTCAGCGGTGGGCATTTGTGGGCCTTTTCTTTCAATGGTGCGGTCGGAAGCCTCGCCCACAATCACCTTCTGGCCTTGTGTGACTGTGGCTGAGGCCCAGGAGATGGAGGAAAGGATTGGTATTGGTCTGACTTTGCCCTGAGCTCACCCCGGAGTCACGGCTGGGTATTGTGGGAAGCACCCCACCAAATCGTGAGGAGCAGGAACGGGAACCCAAGGAGGGATGCAGGGCCCTTAACAGGCAGGACTTACGTAGGGCCCTCCTCCCCTTCCCAGCCGCCTGTGCACACACCCTTTCCAATGTCCATAAATACAGCTGGAGACCCATCCCCTCCACAATGGAACATAACCTAAACCCGTTGCTATTGCATCCAGAGAGAAGGGAGCCATTCTCCTCCAACTTGAAATCTCTACTGAATGTCCATTTATTCACCAGTTCCACGCTTCTTCAAAGGCATGTGTTCCCTGGTGACCACAGACAAGAACTTAATTGCTGTTTCATCACTGCTTACCATGGGCTGCTATTCACATCCCAGAATATGAATGAGGCCTGCTGCTTTCCACATGAACTTCCTCAAAAGTTCTACGAAGGAAGGGTTGCTAATCAAATATATGTCCACCATTGTTACTTACAGGGGAGACTGTGGTGGGAATTCACCACCTGAGAACTGGGGTTTCATTGAAGAACTCGATGTAATCTAAACACCCTGGTAACCAAGAATATTCAAGAATGTGATTTTCAGTGTGTTATGCAGAAAATATTTGGACACAGTGAAATGCAATTTCATAATTTCTGGTCCTTCAATTACTTGTTAACACAGTGGCTCAATGGCTCATAACCCTGTCTGTCAAAAACTTGGGGTTGCTCCAGTGGCCCCTCAGGTGCCAGACTTGGGAGTGCCAGGGGAGGGGGCCATGGATGCTGCCGTGGGTGATGTGAGCTTGTACCCGCCCAGCGCTGCAGAGGCGTCGGCATGGAAAGCCTGCCCAGCAGGATCTTCAAGTGGGCCTCTTGTCTGGTTTTGGCAGGGATATGAAGCCAGTGGATTTCTTGTCATGCCGAAGATCTTAAAATAGCAAAATCTTAAAGTAGCTGTTTAAAAACCATTCAGGCAACACTTAAACTTTGTGGACTTAGAATTTGCTTCAGTTTCATTTTAAATGCCCTTTTTATAAGGACAAACATTACCAGTGAGGACGGAAGGGAGAATGTGAGTGAAATAATCCAATCCATTTGGAAACAACAAATGAAGTTATGGTCATTTCATTTTAAAAATAGCACATGCCTGGTTCTAAGCATCTGAGCCGCACTAACCAAATGGGAAGGCATGGCTCTCCATAAATTACCTGCCGCAGACACTGGCTCTGACAGGAAACCAATGAGCCATCCGGACACTTAGTTGTTCGTGTCTATTTTTAACATGTTCCCAAGCCAGTTCTTTAAACAGGTTTCTCCTCAAAGAACTTTTCTTATTTAAAATAACAATAAAGAGAAGAATCTTCACCTGCAACCATGTGTAAATCACAGTCGGTAATTGCCAGAGTTGATGTCATCAAAACTGCCAAGAATGCGCGGCGTTCAGCTGTATACTGTGATGTTAACCACGCAGAGGGATGTCAGGCTCAGGGAACAGGTGTAGATAAGAAATTCTGACATCGAAACATATATAAAAATAAAGGTTAGTTTGCTAATAACATTTCTCCTAATTTACAATTTAATAAATAATGACTTCCCAAAGCACAACTTAATCCTAGGATAGATGGAACCACATTAATCTATCAGTATGGAAAAACCACAGAAATTCAATTTTAGGAGGGATGGAGGTGATCCCTCGGTCCCAGTTTTCTTGCCTGTCAGTGTGACAGAAGTGACTGCTCCCCACCACGGGCAGATGCCTCCAGTGCCATCTGTTCTCTCCACGTTGCCATCAGCTGCTTGGAAATGGCACTTTTTAGAGGGGCTTAGTGGCAACTAATCATGCTCCGATTTTAGCAACAGCAGTTAACCCGTGTTCAGAAAGGTAATTTTTTCCCAACAGGTTCCAATTAGGAAAGAATGTTTACCTGGTGTAGCTATTCTGGGATGTGCCACAATGGGGAGTTCCTTTCATTCTTTCCCCCCATTCTAGGGC